TATTGATATTTAATAAATACTCGCAACGTTGGTCTTAAAAATTGGCAATTGCATCGTTCTACTTTCAATATTGGATTAGTGACTTGCTTATTTCGTAATACAGTGGCGAGAAAATGAAGCACGTAACAACCTGATATTTTCAATTAAAGTATTGAACGAATCGACCGGCTGAGGTAATTAACGCCACTCTTTCACATCTCGCGTTGCATTATTAGTTCGCTTAATAAAAATGAAAATTGTTTTCTAAAAATACGATTGTAGAAGACACTAGGTCCATTGATCGAGCTTGCGTAACGCAGAAACTTAGACCAGGTATTATTACTAAAATATTTCTCAAACTCCAGTGCGATGTACCGTATCATCTACTGTTCTCTAGTAAAAATTGCAAATATTCTCTAATAAAAAATGTACAAAGAGAAAGATCAAAGAGTCGTGTGAACTCACTTGGCCTCGAGGGCGAGCGCGAACACTCCCGCTGCCTCCGGTGCCGCAGCCGACGTTCCGCTGTGTGTCGTTGTACATTCTCCATAAAGATCAGTGGTGGCCTGAAAGGAAAAGAGAACAGCCATTGCACAAGAGAATTGCGTCCCCTCGCTGAAATTAGAATTTACCCCGGCTCATTATGAAAATGCTTGTTGTTTGCATTTTAATGATATGCCGTGTTTTAATTGCAATTACGTCTTCAAAGGGCTGCTGCGCTCGCGTATTTTCTATCGCGAAGCTGAGAAAAAGGGAATAAATAAAAACGTTCTGCAGATCCGTCTCGTTATTCAGTTTAAAATAATATAAGTGGGAGCTTGAGTGGGAAACGGCTTTGCAATCAATACGAGCTGGAAATCGTGAAAAGTAAATCTAACGCAACTCCCAGGGGTAGATTAAACGTTCCACTTTGGAAAATTTCCTCGAGAAAGTTTCAGCGTTAAAAGTACGCTTCCGGCTTGTATACGACTGGCATAAAATCGTTTATCTGAACGGTAAACGACACTGTAACGACGCGTACTCGAGAAGCCTGTGAAATATTGTGACTGACAATCCATTCGCAATTTTATTGAATCGTTCCATTTGATACAAAATTCTAACCGAACGTGTAAGAAGACTGGGACAAAAAGTACATTCTATTTATTTCATTTAGCAGAATGAAAATAAATCTTAGACGACGGCGGGTCTAATCTCTGCCAGGCATCCCTCTTTATCCTTTATTTTCCCTCCAGGTCAGCCGTGAAATTTTCACGCTGAAATCCTGGCGAATCATGTTCACGCATGAGATCCAGGCTTCTGAGCCGAGAAACGTGCTCGTCCAATAATTCTGAATGTTGCGACGTAACACAGTTAACAAACTTTTAATAAAAGCTCATTGAAAGAAAGTTTTCGCCTGATACTTGCATATCAATATTCGTTCTCATTTTATTTTTCAATTACGATTTCTTCGGATTATTATTTCCTGGTTTTCTATGGAACATGATGAATCCTAGGAAAATAATTGTGGAAGGTATTAGATGGGATGAAGTAAACGAATCGGATCTTATTTTCCGCAAGAACTTTTATCCAGCCAATAAAATGAAAGCGTCTTCCCTCAGCATTCATATCGGTGAAGATCGATCAATGGTGAAGCGTCTATAAAGAACGAGCAAAGTTTACGAGCATTACCGGTAAGCTTCAGCAAAGGGAATCCCTCATTCACGTTAATCCTCCAGCAATGGGAACGATTCTCTTGCGGACGATAAAGAAATCCGATACCAAAATTATGATCCAATTAAGGGGTACTGCTCTACATTAAATTTAATACTCCATCTCCAAATATTAACCTAGAATTTAATGCGCCATTTCGATTGCTACCAGGCGAAAGCTCTTGATTGGCAATTTTCGAATATCCCATAAACACGGGTCCATCAGCAAGCAATCTCACTACGGGAGGAAGTAACGCGTCCCGACAGACCGCGCGTCCACCGCAACCTAATCTCATCTTACCTCGAATAATAAAACCTAAGTTTATCGAACATCTTATTAAAAAAATTCGTAACACATAGTCTGTCCATTTTATGAAAATAAGTGTCTTTCCTACTAAGCTTACTCTACTCTGAATCTTTGCCAAGTGTTAAAAACATGGTAACAACTTTTCGCGTTGAACGAAACGATAACAGTAAAGAAATGTTGAAATATCGAAGGCGTTGAAATACTAAATCGTGTTTAAATGATTTATTGAATTTTCAATCCTGAATAACTGCGTAAGGGGACCAAACATGAGACCCTAATTCGTCTCCATTCTCGACTTTCACTCTTCAGATTCTGCCTGACGCTTCCAGTTGAATCAAGAGAAGTTGATTTATGGTCAAGAGATCTTGCACGATCCTTTGTAATTAAAGCTCGACCTTTGTCTAGCCATTAGCCAACGGACCAACAATAAAGCATTCTTCCATCCAATTGCGAGCCACAAACTCGGTCAGAAAATAAGAATCACGGGTTCTCAAATTCCACCCCGTATTTGTTTTTGACATTTTAAAAAAATCGTTGCTGAACGAATTTAAAGTTTCGAATTACAGATTTCATGGTAAACTGTTAAACGGGAATTCGTTGTATAAAAATTTTACGAAACACCAGGATTCCTGTCTCGCGTTACCGGGATTCATTTATTTTTATCCGAGCTCCGGTCTGCATACTTTCGCCGACGCGGTAGGAATTCACCCTCCACCCCGGAATATTTGGTGAACAGCGTAATCGTTGCTGAACACGCGTGACTGTGTCCGAATTTTGTAAACCGTAGTTTTAGCCGTGAAAATATTGCTATTCTTTTTTATAAAATTCCAAGAGAATGGTTATTATTATTAAATAAATTACATTTTTATTAACTTTCTCAAATTTTCGTAACTATCAATTTTGATCTTTAAAATATGCTTTGTACTCTTAGCTTCTCATATAGCTTTATAGGAAAGGAATCTCGCAAACTAATTAAAAATCCGTTAGCGTCGAGGGAAGCTCGCGGAGAGAGAGGGCGGATATGGTACTTACCACCCCTATATTAGGATCCTTGGCGCCGTTGCTAAACGTCGAGGCCAGGGTGCTCGAACAGCTCTCGTCGTAATGAGCGTTTTGCCCATCGTTGATGGCGCTGTTAATGCTGACAGTCCACATGCTCGCCGCGTAACCATCGCAGTTGCAATCATCCTCCTCGCCGCCGTCGCCGGACGCCCACACGTATATGTTACCCAACCCTTTTCTACCCTGTAACGCAAGCAAAGATCATTTAAAAAAATAAAACATATAATAAAGGGGAAACTCTCTCTTATATTATTCGTTCTTATTTTTATAATCAATGATTAGAAGTCGGAAATATATATTGAATTATGTTGAGCAAGTAATTGCGTGTTTAATGGGAAATGTTATAGTAGGGATAGGTTGTTCAAACAGAATTAATATCCCTTCTGAAGCTCCCTGAAGGACTTCCTTTCATCAATTGACGTAACTCGTTGTCATAACTTGCGTCTAACGACCGAGCGGTTGTTAAAGGTATACATCCGTGACACGCCGGATCTTATCGATTATCCTAACGTTCAAGGGAGAAACCCAGCTGCCACGTTGACGTATCGAGGTTCAACGTTGATAACAAACCTAACTGTGAATCGAATCCCACACATATTAAAATCGGTTTAATATCTTTTGCTTTTGGGCGTTATTTACTAACGCGTATGTGAAAATGGAGAATTAATAAATACGAAACGCGAAATTATAATTGGGGAATTATTCGTACTGAGCCCAGTACCATCAACAGCTTTGCACTGATCAAAGCCCACGCGTATTTCGACGAGATTTCCATAATTCCTAATTAAACGACATCGAGAGGTATTACAATGAGTCGGAACTTTTTCGCTTAGTAAATTAAACGGGCAATATTATTATTAACGATAGCAGCGAGAAATGGTCTTTATTCAGCGTGATCTAATTATCTTGGTAATTAGCCTCTCGTGAAAATCGATGTGCGAAACGAAGTGTACGCTGACTGGATTCTGCAATTATCGGTTCATGGAAATTCTAAAACCTAGGATACACAGAAAGTTTTGCTTCTAAAACGAAATCCTAAATTCTCACTATCTGATAAATTATTTCGATTGTATCTTTCTTGAGAAAGAAATTGTTTAAAATAATTAAGAAAGCGGTGGTACTTAAAATAAATTGATCGCAAGGCTTGTTTATACTCAGCTTAAAAGTTACGTGAAGTGACTTTTGCGGACGTAACAGACGCCAGAAATTCAGGTCGCAATTGCGCCAAGTTAATTAGATCACCGCCAGACACTTTTGCAAAACGATGTTAGCGAATTAACGTTATTACCTCTTTCGTAAAAATGAATTCCCTTATTAGAAAGGAAACTGATGGACCAAACATTTCTTAGTAATAAAATATATCAGTGCTTAAATTAAATGATTCAAGAAATGTCTATCCAAAATGTTCTTTTATTCTGCACGACGCACTGCAGTTTAATTGCATTTTACTTGACGAAATTTTTATTTGGCTTTAAAATTGTATTTTACTTGAAACTTTTATTGCGACTAGAGAATTAACTGGGAACCTTGTTTCATTAAAATGAAACGATGATAACTAGTTCTGATTCAATGGGAAACGTTGCTCTTTGTACACAAGTGGGTGACACTAGTTCCAGGAACAAGAGTATCAGAAACTGATACTACATTGTGAAAGAGGGAGAGATCGCGTTTATCAACATAAAAATCACATTCTGTTGTTTCCATAAAAGTTCCGTGGAGCATGTTTCGTTTCAAAAGTTTCCTCTCATGAGAAATCAAGACAGCTATAAAGGTCAACGACGTGATGGAGTTTCGTGTCAACGATGAAACCGAGCAGTATAAAAAGAATTAAGTATAAGCGTAGAAGTTTCCGTTTCTTTAGTGTAATAAACTTTTATATGAGAATCGACGCATCTGCCGAGCATCCAATTAATCTATACTACAAACGATTTTATGATTCACCCTCGAGATTTGGGAATTGAGCCATAAATAGCGTTGAGTTTTCAAGGTGCGAGGGTTAATTTCATCGGACTTAGGACGGGGAGGGACGAAGGACGGTAAGAGGATCCGTTCGAAGGGTGTCGGAACGTAAGACGAACGCTCACCTCGTTAACGCCGCGGACGATCGCCCTCATCGTCGCGTTTCGCGGCCCGTCGACGGTTTTACCGTCGTCCGTCGGTCCCCACGAGGCGCTATAAATGTCTATAAGGTCAGGTTCGTGTCCCATGCTGTTCGCCTCGATCAGATCCGTCATGTAAGGCTGATCCAGCATACGGATCCCGGCGACTTTCGAATCGTACGCAACGCCCACGCCGCACACGTCATTGTCCCTCGCCGCTGCCACCTCCCCGGCGCATCTGGTCCCGTGACTTTCCAAAAAAAAAATTAGAAAACACTGTCAAATCTAAAAAGATTGAGTCAAAGCGTACCGATGGATTATGTACCCATTCCCTTTCAAGTTTGATTGAACAGACTTGTTCTATTTGTGTCAGAAACAATTTCTGATTGATTTCAATAATTACAGCGTATTATAAAGAATGCAGGATTCACATTTGAAAAGTTCAAAATTATCCAGGAATTGCCACGGCGGTAAACGTAATTAATGTACAGAATCGCGTATTGTTTACGTGCAATCTTGCGCACTAGAAACACGATGCGTTTCGTAAATTACGCAACTCTGTTATTAGGAATTCAATCAAACAAAATTCAAGCGTAATTACACGGAACGATCGGGATTAATTACAAATCAGGTAGCGGTGTATTCGTTCCAGTATCCAGCGATAATTAACTTGAATGAGATAAACATTCTTTCACTGAAAATCAAAAGCAGACAGCGTAGCTCGTGAAGAATTAACGTGCGGTCGAGATTGTAACGACTCATTTTAATATATGACAGAAAGCGTTAATTATCGTCGATTATCCGTTCCCATCTTTTATCCAACTCCCTGCAAAATTAACGGAGATAATGAAACTTCACTGTCCGCGCGATTTTTTAATTAACGAATAATGGCTCGATGGACAAGAACATTTTAATATCGTAACAGGCAACCATTTTCTCGTGAAAATGTTACGAGAAATGTTTTATTAATTAATTTCGTATTATCCATCGTGTTCTGTAGAACGCTGTAGAATCGCGAATCGGATTTCAGCGAATTTTATCATCCCCGCTTTATTACGCCCACGCGCTCCTTTTTCAGACTTTAACGTCCACCTTTATTACCCCCGTTCTGATTGAAGCAATAAAATGAAAAAACAAACGTCATAAAGAGGATGTAGAGGACTTTTCCGAAGACGTATTACTATCGAGACGCTTGCGGCTATCCACGTGCAGACGACGTTTCAACCACGGATCAAGTCAGAACGAGATTCAAGGATCTATTTCGGGAAAAACCGTTTCGATTTATTTCCATTCACTAAACGAATTCAATGCGAATGGACGATTTGTTTAAACATCTGTTGGATAATTTAACCGTCGTCAAGAAATGATTGAAATGATAATCGAGCGGTTCTTAATTGAAATACATGCAGGGACAGAGAACTCTGAGACGGCACAATGAAGAATGGAACGTAGAATAGATCCTCTTCTGTGTGGGACACTTAAATCGAGCTTCGGCTACACCAGCCTTTTCACGTTCATTCGAGGGAAAACTCTTCGCGGAAAATTAATTCAGTGTCTTACATAAACTCAGAAAAAAAAGATATTTTTTATGTAAGAGACGACGAGAAATTCTTCCCGAGCATGAAATTGAATTATCAGGAACAAAAGCTTTATCAGGAAGAAATTATTAGTTTTATACCAAGGAGCTACTTTTCCAAGAATTTGAACTTTGAAATCCGAACAGTGTTTTCCTTCTGTCAATCTGCTAACTGAAAAGTCGATTTCTCATTATTCAACTCCCCTTTTGAACGTCGTTACCTTGAAGGAGTCGTGTTACCTTCGATTACCGAGGGAAAACAATGTAGAGTTAAAATAAGACGCTTGAAACAATTTTCCTCGGCTCGATAACCATCCGCTATCCGGTAATCATTGATTACAAGAATTCTAATTTCTGGTGACCTACACCAATTTCTTTCTAATCTCATTAACAGAATTCTACGTAATCGGACAAAAATTATGTGTCAAATATTTAATACATATATGCAATTTTACTCACCTATTGAACCAATCGTCGGTGTATCTTGGATATGGATAAGGATCGTTGCTGCTAAAGTCGTAAGAAGCTTTGGCATTCTGAAGCAGACAAGATACAAGAAAACTGAAATTATAAAAAAGAAATTCTGTATAAAAATCTTTTATCCCTTTAAGAAAACAAAAGCCAGCCAACAACGCTAAGAGCGACAGTCGTTAGACAAAAGCTCCCCAGAGTTTCTCGAATGGATGACGTGAATAACTTTCGTAAGCTGAGAAAATTAATTTTTTAAATTGCGTTTCGTGACCATCTGCGCAACCATGTTGTAACAATCCTTTTTTTAAATCTAGGAACGGGTTATCGTGAAAGATTCTACGGCGCAATATTCTAATATTTATTCTCTCGCTTGGTAAACGAGGCGTTAACAAGAAAATATTCCATGGGCATGCGAGACAAATAAATTTCCTTCTAAAAATAGCTCGACTTCTCGCCGTTAATTAATTGTACACAACGTCCCGGACGAAGAAGAATCTCTGTTATCAGTTTCGTAAATTCTTCATATCACGCGGACAGCGTTGATTAATCTTTTGTCATCACGGATCCGTCCCATCGCTTCCCTGTTTCTCATATCGCGTCACCTCATTTTTTACTCCATAATTGAGCGCTACGATGAAAATTCACAAATCGCGAACGACTCACGGTTCTTTGTTAAAATTTATCGAACAACGTGGGAAGTGTTGAATAACAACGATGCCTGTAATTGGCCCGTTGAATTTTTTATAGCCGAAGTTGGCTCGGCAAACTTTGCATTGTCTCCTCTTCTGCGAAGTCGATTACGAGTTCATAAGACACGTGGGTCGCTGATTTGTATTTTCGGGAAAAACACTAGGGAACTTCGCTCTCCTGCACTCGATATTTTCCCGTTTTTTATTTACTCGACGTCATGTTTTAAAGAACAGTTGACGATACAAACTAGGTTGGCCGTTTTGTCTCGAAACTAACGCGATTCTTTTCGCAGAATATTTGGACACGTGTCACTCGGCGTACGTGAACTCTGTTTAACGCTCTGGGTGATATCGAGTGGATCTTGAACTGTGGATTACGGCTCATACGTGAGCCGAATCGACAGGACGTCTCCCTAAGGGAAACACGTGCTGGAGTTGTCGAACAAATTATACTTCCATCAGTGACAGAAACTAGTTTCTTCTCTAACTAACTCGCAGTTAAAGTGGACACTCGACAGCTGTTATTATTCATAAAATTATTTTTACATTTAACAGAAGGATTAAAAGTATAACAAATCAAGCATGAAATGAGTCATTGAATTTGGTTATTAATTATCTTGTCATGGATGCTCGAATTAAAATTGATATAACAATAATACTTACGTAGTTATACTTCAAGTCCGGATGCATGTAGTCGACACCTGTAACAAAGAACAGGAAACGGAGTTGACAGGTTTACGTAAGTTGTACAAGTCTCATACATCAGTACCAGGAAAAGGATCTTCCACACAATTCAATATAACCACAATAAGATTGTTACGTTAATTAGCAGGAAGTTCAAATAATCTTCATATTGCAATATGATTGAAGTCTGTACTGTCATTAAACCGTAACGAGTTCTGTATGAAATCCGCTATGAAGCAATCGGGAACAGGTAAATGACGGCACGTTAATTTATGTGACTAAGGGATGAACGTTCAATTTGTAATATCAAACGAACGACAACGCCGATACTGCTGAGCAGTGTTTGCGCGAGCGAAATCGATAACAACGAGGTAAGCCGCAAAGGGCCAAGCTTAACAAGCTGTGTCTATGGATATCCGAGATTACAATTTAGCACAGCCGAGTCCTCCCGTGCTTAATAAAAGGCGGAACGTCCACCGGTTGCACGGAAACGATCGTAACCAGTTTATGGTAATTCTCAAACACAATTCATCCTTCATTAACAGGAAAATGACAAACAGCGGAGTTTTATTTATACGTTTCTATTTCTGAAGCTTTCTCGTCATTCGTGTATATATTGCAATATCGAGGTCTGAGCTTTTCGATACGAACAATTTTCAGCAAATGCACTTGATATCAATCGTAACGGTATCGACTAATCTATAAATAAATATAACTTCGCTACCTAATTGCCCATGTGTACAATCGTTGCAAATATGGGAGGAAAAATTGTTGAATATTGAAAATGTTTTCTGGGTCTGTGTAATTGCAAATACATATATAAATTGGATTGTGACGGGATCAGCGGTCAGTTCTCAATATATCTCTGCGAAACTGTGTCGGTCACGTTGGGTTTGATCCGTTGGATTGTTAGCTTTACTGAAACGCAGCACCGCATACAGATTTTATTCCAGATTTGTTCAATTTTAAAAACAAACCGGGAACGAACCAAATTCCTGATATTTCGAATTCCTTTAAAATGAAAAAGTATAATTTTATACAATACAATTATAAGGGTTGTCGATAATCGAGATTACGTAATCATTACGATTAATCCGAACTCGGAGTTGCAACATGGTGCAATCTAAGTAAGCTTTCTGTTAATGAGATGCCACGGGGCAAAATCGTGACGCGACTTTCACTGAAAAAATGAATTTTGGGAATCCTTACCATCGTCCATGATAGCCGTGGTCACGTTTTTTCCTGTAACTCCCTGTGCCCAAGCTGCCTTCACGTTCAGATCCAATTTCGGTTTCCCTCCGTTTTGGCCGGTGTTCTTCAGATACCATTGATACTGGAAATAAGGATCACATGGATCCTTATTGCCTGGATTCGCTGGATTTTTTATTTGGTAAAGCGGCACGAGATTATCCACGCTCAAGGGCTTATACCCTCTCTTCACTCTTTTGAATCCAGGCTGCTGTACCGCAGTATGCACCTGAAACAATCACGAAAATCCTTTCTAAAAACAGTCGACCATCCCTTTCAAAATTTTGTCATATGAATAATGAATAAAAAACAGAGTGCGTATAATTAAATAGAGAGAAACATGGTGGGTATGAAAGATAATAATAGGAATTTACTATTTTGGAAGATGAACGTCAGTGAAATTTCGTGTTATATCACTCACCATGGGATCTACCTTGAGTCTTCTCATATGCGGCACGGATCTCTTGCTCCGCGCATGAGACAAGGCCCTGTGCACGAAATGATATTCCGTCTGACTGCCCAATATCTAGACAAACGTGAGAGAAAATTTACATTCAATGTCTGTTCCACCTACACATGAGTTTTATTAAACTTTTGACGAAATGAACTAATGAAATGCAATGAATATTCAGGAACAAAGAGTATATCCACATATATATGAATATACTATATATGTATATATGATGAGAATATACATATTGTTCTTCTTCCAGCATAAAGGATAAGCTTAAGTAAAATGCATTTTCTAAATTGGTATTAAAACTGTTCCCTCTTGCATAAAGCTCAGTAATTACTACTTAAAGAAGATTGTATTCATTTTGAAATGGCAAACTTTGGTACGAGGATGGAAGTGGAGTGAAGGAAACGATGGAAAAATTGAATGAAAGCAAGGTAGAGAGTTCGTTACATCCTAAGGAACATGTCGGAGGTAGGATTTCGAGTGCCCGAGGGAATTGAATTTTCCCCTCCCGACCGAACGATGGCAAAAAGAATTCTTTCGAAAGAGCAATTCGTTTAAGGTGCCGGAACGAGTTACAAGGAAACCGAGTTAACGGATCGGTCTGTGCGAGGCAAACCGCGAGATCCAATCGAGCCAATTACGAATAGATCAAATTCGATTATGGCACGCGGACGGTTATTCGATTAATAAGTTCACATCGTGAGAGAAAATCGATTGGATTAAACACATGTGTTATTTATCTTTCTCGTTCACCGTTCTGTCCTAATTTTTCTGTAAATGCATCGAGTCTGCAGTCTAATAATCATCGATCTTAAAAATTCTTAACACGTATCAGGCTGTTACAAAAAATATTTATGCAACAGTGTAATTAAATAAAATTCTTTCTCGACAGGAAAGATTCTTTTGTAAAGACCGTGCAAGATTTCAAATGATTCCCATCGTTTTCTGGAACAAAGAAGTCCCGATGTTACGTTTGCATAACTCTTTCCCATATTTACGCAAAGTTCTCACTCCTCTTGGAAACGATTTGCATTCCAGCAATTCCACTCCTGCCTTAGGAGCGTCTTGAATTCGAATCTATTTACCGGGATCAATCTAGATATACGTTTATCGTGAAAGGATTCCAGCGAACGGATCAGATTCGTAGACAATGTTCTCTGGAAATTCCCCTGCGAGAAAGATGTTAGATAGTGGAAGGTATGTATCTAATGCCTGTTCCAGATTGTATTCTGATTCTTTCTCCAATAGTTTGCACAGGTTTTCAAGCAAAGTTCGAGACTTTAACAAACGAGAAAAAGATTGCGACCGTGGTGCCCTAGAAATTTGATTAGGTTACTGGAATTACTTATTGTTCCGTACCATATCCCACTGAAACAATTTTCTAATGCTATTTAATTTTCGATGTGAGCGAACTTAATAATGGTAGATATCATTTTCTCTGAAAGGGAAACCCCATTAATCTTCGGAGTTTAAAAAGATTAATTACAGTCAACACTTTTAAAATAGATTCGTCCATATTTCATAGTTACCTTAGTGATAATTATGACGTTAACTAATATTACGAATTTGCGCCGTTACCGTTAATTACACTTCGTTTATTGATAAAATATAATAATCGCCCACTGTTTAATAAGCGACGGCGCGTATCTGGGTCAACCTATCATCGATTAACATATAGCATAAATATATCGGGTTCTTTCGCTTTTAGTACAGGAAGAGGAAATAGCATTTCGATTCCGTTTTCATGCAATGCCATCCGAACTGGTCAACGCTAATCGAATTTCAGCCGGGCCACACGTGTCGCTTAATCCAATTAACAAGTGCGTAACACACAGGACATTAGGCTTGACCGACACGTGGCATAAACAGGAGTGCGCGGTTTATTGTACTTTCCTTTTTGGCGATGTGAATTCGCATGCAGATGCAATTTATCGAGCTACTGCGACGCTGTATTCAAAGCGACTCGCGCGGTCGCTGAAGAAATATGTATGGCAGCTCTACCCGCTTTAATTTTCCATGCGGTTTATCGGGGAGCCCAGAGAAACCTTTCACGAAGCGACGTCGCGTAAAACATCGTTGCAGAGGGTAAAAAATATTGAAAGCCTGGGCGAGCTTCTAATTTGCTTACGAATATAGATTTACTTGGATCCTTTCAGCTTTGCAAAACAATTTCACTTGAACCAGCTTACTTCTAATTGTATAATCCGTCTTTTAATAAGTCATATAGCTCAGTAAACATTCTAAATTAGAATTTACCGTAGCTTTAGAAACTGAAATCACGGCATGTACAACGGGAGCAGCTTCGGTTAACGAGTGGTACACACAATTCCGAGGAAAAATATTCGAGGCGTGTGCATTGGAATGTTGATCGTTACACAACGATGCGGCTAACGACGAACTCGAGCTTCCTAGCGACATTCGTACGCAGGAACCTGCATGACCAAGGAAACGAGCGATAAGCATGCTTCGGTGCACATACAAGCAATATCACGAGCTTCAGAATTGGCGATGTAAGAAGAAAATACATTTCCCATGCACACGTTTCAGCCCTCGAATAGCCCAGTTTACGAAATTGTTAGTCTTGAATCAACCATTTCACACCCAATTACGATGCTACAGAACTGCAATTTAATCTACGTTTGAATTCGCACCGTTAATGATGTTTGAAAGTTATGCAAGGATAATTGAAATTATACTACGAGAACACTAAGGAATAAAATGTGATTGACGCGAATTTGTTGTCAATAAATTCAGCTAGTATCTATCTAAATGAATCCTACGCTCGAATATATTTTTAGATACATATTTCAATCTGCATATTTGATAATTAATTGCTCAAAGGGATGGAAGCTCATTCTGTTTCTTCAACCGTGACATTAATTTCCGTTTTCTCGTTAAACTTTCCACCATTCCGAACTTCCAGTTTATTCGCGACGCTTTCAAGAAAATTATTGAATGCACGTGAAATGATTCAATCAGGTACAGCCTTTTTCGCTAGAAGCATTTGGAGGCTAATCGGATTTTGATATCAGGTCTGTTGGGTACTCGATTTTATCGCGACACAGACTAACGATTTTTGCATTAGCTAAAGTGTACAAATACTGAACGTTGGAGATCAAAATAAATGGAGGTATTACCGCTGTATGCGGGTTGCTAACGGGAAATCGAAATTCATGCACCATCCCGTTCTATTAATAACAGAGTCTTGTAATTGTACATCTATGGTATCGATTTGAGAAATGTTTTTCAAATTCCTATAATTTCATCATTGCAAGTGCACTCAGCTTTTGACATCATCTCTGCATTCAATTTTCTCAGAAGTGTGCCAACTCTTAAAACGTAGTGGATTAATAAAGAAGGCTTGTCAAAAAGTGTTAATAAACCTAGTCCCTTAATGAACGAGCATAATTAGTTCTCGAAAGCTCTCAAAGTTCTGTGTTTACGTAAACAGAAAGTAGATGGTTGAAAGTTCGCGGAGCATGCATAAAACTTTTTCTCCAGAAACGACGCGAAACAGAATTTCTAAGCTTCGACTCGAAAAGGTTAGCAACGTTACCGCACCAACAATCGATCACGATATAACGCGATTATTCTACGCGGCTTCGCACCGTTAATCTTTTTATGATCCACTCTTTCTCCAGAGAAATGTTCACAAAAGGATTACGCAATCCATTAATTGGGAGGTCTTTGGTTTCGCTCACTCGGAAACGACGAGGAGCCCGTCGATAACGGGTCTAATCGATCCTCCCGATAATGCAACGTCAATTTACGTCATAGTCAGACAGTTAGGCAACCCGTTCTACTGATAAAACAACGTCACAGGCAGTAAACACACCATTTGGAGAATCGATTCGGGATAAATTACATCACACACACTCCTACTTTGTTACTGTTTCTCTACATGCTCCTTCCAGTCAATTAATCTTACGACTCCCCAAATGAAGTTTCCATTTGAACGACTTTCGAAATTGGTACGAACGAATTGTTCGACTGTGTAGCTGCAAAGTGTCTTTCTATGTATCTATTATATTTTTGATTGACACGTTGAAGTAGTGTTCTGTGTCACAGAATTTATCGAAACTTTTAACGATTGCATAATGGAACGTTTCGCCTGACCGAGTAGGCGAGCAAAAACGTACGCGATAAGAATTATAGAATTACAGAACTAGAATTGTAAAACTGGCAAACGTAGCGCAGATCCACTGCCACATAGGAATGTTCCCAGGTTTGCGATTACTCTCGAACGATTTATTCCAATTACGCAACGCTTCTCGTTCACCTTTGCTTGTTTCGTGCGAGCGTCCATTATACCAAAGAGGTCTGACTTAACTAAACGTTCATAGACGCCTCCGAAGGATATTACATGCTAAGTTCCTCGCATAAAACCCGGGATGAGCAGGATAAAAAGTCTGGCATAAAACGTAATGGTGGTTTAAGTCACCCTCGATTACGCCGCAATACAGTCAGCTATCTACTGTATATCGCGTGCGCCTTGAAAATTCGACGTTCTCTCAGTCTTATATTAAAAAATAAATTGAAATAACGTTGTACCAACGAATAAGACTTTTTAAAGGTAAACTTCGGTTCAGCAAAACTAATAAAAAGAAACTGTCGGCTGACAGAAGTTAGTCGGTGGGACAACCCTTTCGCGAATGATTCCCCGTAGAACAAACTAATTTTATAAAAAGAAACTCTTTTCTTAGGATTTGCTTTTACTTTGAAGAGAAACGTTTAATTGCGAAGTTCCCTTGTACTTTCTCTGTTTGTTCGACTTCGCAACAATAATTATTCGGATGGAATCGTATTGCAAGGTTTTCAAACTACAGTCAGATGTTTCCTCTTTCTTTATCGTTTATCTTGCCGTTTGTTAGCTACGGAAATTCCTCATCAGTTATTGTCTGTTCTCGGTACAACAAGAAATCCTCGACAAGTTAAGATCAAATTCTGGAGTTACACGTCCCTTTGACGAAGCAGCTTTATGCATAACGAAATTAGTTTTCTGGGAATATGCAAAGCAACAGGGCGAACTACAGGAGAAAGCTTCAGCTGAACGTGAGAAGAAAATGGAAAATACAGTTCTTTGACAGTGTAAACATTCGATAAAACGCGTATGTTGCCAGGAAATATTGTATATCATTTCGATAATAAACTGACATCGCGTATCGTATGACGGATGAAAAATAACCGGGGGGAAAACATTGACTAGATTAAACACGAGACCTACGCAACGTTCATCACGTAGGCGTCAGACCGCACCGCGGTTGCTTCCACTGTTGTGCTGTCTGATCATACGCCGACAGTTGCTACTTCCACGTAAAGCGAATTATCTACGCTCCTCTTTCACGTTTACTCAATAAGAAGACTAAACTAATTTTAATCTAAACATTTCGAAGCTGATTCGTTCAATAAATTATCTTCCACGATTCCTTAATATGATAAATAGAAACGTAAATACTTGGATTATTTAATTAAGTAAACAAAATCTGAAGACTGCATTTTGAAATGACGTTTTCGATTTATCTTACGTAAAAGCAAAAAGAAGGGAAGCGTGGATTTTAGGGTGAGCTATCCCTTATGCTACAAGGCTATTCAGGGCGAAGTTAATCTTATCGTTAACACGTATCCTACGTATTTATGACGTAGGCCAACTGTTTCGAACACGTTTTCGCGATAATGCGGGTGTTCGTGACAGCCTACGAAATCAATGCCTCCGGATCACACATGCCCATGGTAAATAGTTTTGAAACGATATCGTGATTGATGTAAATCAAGTAGAGCAAGAATAAGTGAGTGAACACGACGTACATGTTTTTAGTCAAACACAATCGATGCAAATTCGAAAGTAATATTAAGATCTAATGATCGATGGATCGATGATATAAACAAAGATGGTATGTCAATTCGTGGATATTCTGCTAGTAGAAAAAGTACTTTACTGAAGTTATCGATTGCAAGAGAGATTTCATTCCCATTCTAGCGTGTTCACCTCATCCGCGCCCTAAGCCACACTTTCAACCCAGATAAGCAATTTCCTTGGCGCGGTCGTACCGTGCGTGTACGTGCCGTGTCCACGCGATATGTGTCAGTGTCAGGAACTTGTGCCGTCGTGGCCTACCACTATTGCACTCTGCAGAAACTTGCAAAACTCTTTTCATCGATCTACCGCTCTCCGTTCTAATCCTAATACAGTTTGTACGAACGCTAATTTTTTAAATTTCTACATCACGATATTTGTTGTTCCACGTTTTAAATCGAAAATGGTAAAAGAGATCGAAACAGTGTCTGTAAATCTGCTGCAATAATAAAAATTGGAAATGTCTCGCTTGAATTTTCATAGATTTTTTTTGCTTAGTTTTGTACGGCTGAGACTTACCGGTCCAAGATTGACGAATCCATTCCTAGTAGCCACGCGATCGGCGACTTGTCTCTCCGCGGGCTGCCTCATTTTTACGAGGAACGTGTTGGTGAAAACATCGGCATTGGTGCCGGCGCAGAGAAGCGCGATCACCGCGAGTAACATCGTGACGTGCCGACGGCGTACGCTGATGTATCTCGCATTCGCGGGCACTGTACTCGGTGTACGCGATGGTACTGCGATTTTCGAGCTGTCAACCTCCACTGCGGTAGGGGAGGCCGATAGGTTTATCTCGGTGGTGGCGTTACCGACTACGTCTCGCTGCTGGTGGTCGAAGGGTAGTCGAGTAAACGTGGGAGGCTTGATAAGTCGCGCGCAACAACACGTGCTCACCCCCATGCGCGTTACTGGCCGGCCGACAGACCGCCGCTTATCGATTCACGCTTTGCTGCTGAAAGCATGCGCGTTCAATGGTTCAATTGCATGTCTCTTTATATTTATTGGATCCAAGTCTTTTTACGATACATTAAATTTAAAATCGCTCTTTTCTCAGTTGTATCGCTCGCAACGAGTCAAATTGTTTATCGATCGGTGTTCTTAACATTGCTCGAATTTAAGTAGTACAGGTACAGACCGTATGTGATCAGGCATTGCCACCGCACACTCATTCATACTTCACACGCATACTGTACTTTTAATCTGAACTATAGAGGGGGAATAAAATTATTTACAAGACGGTTCGCTGTTTATTTCGATTTTTATGCTCTTTAATGGTACATATTACAATACATACGTATTACGATCTAAGAAATACGTTTAGTAATCAATGTATCATTAGCAATCTAAAGAACGAGATTCCGATTTCAGAATGCTTGACGGTTGTGGGGAATAAATACGATTAATTGACCCCTTCTCCAGAGTTTAGATCGACAGGATGAGCAGAACAATTGCAAAAAATATAATTGTATCAATTAATATTTTTTTTTACTATCGCTATCACCTCTTCACAGTTGCACCAGATTGATTACTAATTACTCTCATTTGCTGTGTCTTTCGTTTCGCCTCGAGCCTCATTTTTGCCTCTAATCGCTTTCTTTCTATTTCTTCGGGTGTGCATTTTATACAATTCGAATCTCTGACTTGCTTAGTGTTAAGTAAACTGCTGGTTGATTTGTATTTAACAATACAATGGCCACTTAATCTGTCATCCTGTAATGTGCTCGACGTTTTAGCATTTTTCGTACTGTTAACCGCTGGAAAATTATCATTTTTACACGGATTTTCATCACTCGGGCTCGGATATTTACTACTTACTGACGGTTTTTCTGTTTTTACCGTAGTCGCTAGATCAATATTCTTTTTACTTTGATTGGAACATTGATCTGATAGGCTCCTCGTTTTAAAGAATTTTCTATTTTCTAAAGTAGGAGATTCTCGCGGTGGTACTTCACTTGTAAGTCTTTGATTTTTAGTCGATTTGGAAGGGGAATATTGTTTACGAATATCAGAATGATTTCTAGTAGACCCGGAAGGATAAAAATCATACACGGATAAGTTTGAATTGGATTTCGATTCTTCTTTAACCGTGCACGTCGCCAAACACTCGTCAAACGAATCGTCTGGGAAATCGGCAGATTCACTCTTACTTTCAAAAGCTACCAACATTTGTTTAGTCTCTAAAATATTTGTAGTAATATTGAAAAGCTTCGAACGAGAAGTTGAAGTATTGCTATTAGAATATGTCTTTAAATCGCTGCTTGTATTAGATGAAGAGACTCGAGAACCAGAACTTTTGGAGGATTCAGTAAAGCTGTCAAATGTCGAGTAACGATAGCCGTTTTTAGATACGGAGGATTCTTTCTTTTCGCTCACTGTGGACAACAGCATCGTATCGGGTTTCTTTTGCAAATTAAATTTTTCTTCAACTTCTTGACTGCACTTCACCATTGAATCCTCGATCGAATCATCAAATAAATCTTGATAATTCGTACTCTTTTCAACGTTATTATTATTAATAGTATGTACAGAATCTATATTTTCTTTTACTTCTGCTTTATTGTGATCAACATCTATGTTTTCATTAGCCATTATGTTGTCGTTGCTCTCATTATCCGATTCTATCATCAATTTACTGTCAAGTTCACATCTTATGTCAAATCCACTGTTCCTATCACCGTCACAATTTTGTTGTATGCTTCCAATCTTCTCATTTAAAGCTATCAATTCAGCTGTGAATTTCCCGATATCTTCTCTATCAGCTATTTTCACTTGCTTCATTTTAAGAGGCTTACGTACTAAAGGAGAATTAGAATTCCGTTTCTTCTGCAATTGCTTGGTCCTTTTGGGTGTCTCAATCACATTGTTCTCTAATTTCAACTTGTCATGTGAACTTTTCTTGACAGGTGTATGCCAATCCCAAGCAACTTCATTTCCACCCTCTTGAGTGCATGACATTGAAATTGGGCTATATCTATAATCTAGTTCAGGGGAATCTTCTACGTTGCTCGCAAACTTCTCTTTCTGAATTGGTGTACTGTGGCCAGAAACAATCACATTGTAGGAACGTTGTGGGGAAGCATTTCCTGGCTCAAGCTTCATGGTATCGTTGACTGGAACTAAACAAATAATTATAAAATTGTCTATATCTCTGTTTTAATGACAGCTGAAAGAAATCACAATACATACCTTCATCGGTGTTGGTGTTGTTAGTCTCTTTCAGCAAACAAATTCTTGATTTTATACGTTTAGTCATTATTATTGAAAAATAAGTGTACATATATATATATTCATACAAGTTGAATGCAAATATCTGTCATACACATTTAGTCAAATTTTATGTATGATTTATAACAAAGGTACTACTTGGTTTTTTTTACATCTTCTATATTTCCACATACACAAGGTCTTTCATTTATTTATATGTCAGATTCAATAAAAATAAAAGAAAGCAGCCAAATTTCACGGCTTGCCTAACCTTTTTAGAACGAATACATAGTGAAAGTAGCTGCACCGAGGTAGTTGTTGGTCTCGTGGTTCGTAGTGTGCGTGATTCGTAAGCCGTAAGCCCGGTACGGATTGTGCTCGTTGTATAATGATAGATTGAAAACTAATGATAATTTGGAACGAGAAACTTATTATAATGAAATGTTTAAATGGAAAGCACAGAAGTAAATTCGAAATAAGTTTTTATATTGCCGCCTAGATCGAACAGACTGCTGACTTCAGATGAGTGTACAGAAAGGAAATGAAAGTTCATGCTCGGCATTCCGTCTCGAGGATATCTTAATGAAATTTTTATTTACTGACATTTACATAAATCTTTCCCGTATATGCCATTCAAGTTTCATTCATTTCTGAGCTGTAGAAACAAACTTCTGGCAATTTTACATTGACAATTCTCGTTGACTTCCATACCACTTGGTCTTTTACTTATACTAATCAAATCCGTTTAGATATCTTAATGACACTTGAAAGACATTTACCTAAATCCTTCTTGAATGTGCTTCCAGAGAGAAAAATTTCTTTCTGGTGCTTCTAAAGTTTCGTCAAAATCTGCATGACGCCAATTTTTAGTTCTGCCTCCTACCGCCACAGCGGCGGCAGCACCTATTGTCGAACGAGAAGTCAGGCGAGGCAGACATTTTGAAATACGAATATCTTGGCGTGCAGTGTGCAGATTTTGGCAAAATTAGATGAACTTTTCGAGGCATATGCACGGAGGATTCTCTGTAAGTATCTCTTAAGTTTCATTTTAATATCTCGGATGATTATTACCGGTAAAACCAATTCAGATTTCGGATAATTAGAGAACAATCGCGTTCCCTTGCAAAGTCAGCAAAAGAGATAAACGAATCGTTTACATTGAAAATATATTTTCATTTCATTACGAATTTCACATGGATGTTATACATACATATACTGCGGAGTTTCGTTAACATTTATATTGAATGTGCAAAGTAATTTCCGCAAAATTTAGCAACAATAACAGTATCGATGGTATGCACGTCGCGAAATGTAACAATTGCAATAAAGTCGTTTTTCTATACATCAACACGATTCTTTTTGGACAACGAGAATGTTACTTTCGACTCCGATTCAGTATTAAAGTTGCGACAACGCATGAACGTTTATTCTAAAAGCAATCGCGGACACGTTGACGAACAAAACGATTTTAATTTCGATGGCCCGTGGAATTAAACTGGATCGATACACGCACGCACATATGTATAAATTAATAAACAAACAGTTGCACCTTTATATTACATTATTTATAACGTAAACTTGATATCTTAATGCACCTGTCGTTTAGAATATTAACACTGTCTATTGTAAAGTGTTAAAAAAGCAGTTTCTTATAGAGTTTTACCCATTTTTGTTGTTTTAGAAATGATACATGCATATTTGCAACAAAGGAAATTGACTAAAATCAACTCTTCCCATCTTGACTTTGATTAGCTATAACATATTGATAACAGGTCCGTTTAAAAGATATCGAACCTAATGATTCATACTTTGGTCGTTTTTAAATACGATCATACTAGAAATAAGAAATATTAAAAAATATACTATTACCTACAAGTCATACGAAGTTGCATCATTTTTACTGGAAAAGTACTTGTAAGTGAAACGTAGTGTTCGTTTTCGATGTTGTGAGCATTCTATTCTGGCATAAGAGAACGTTTTAGGATTTCATCATTTTTTTGTATAAGAAGCGGATCTTAGTATACATATATAAAAACCTATGGTTCCTTGTAATGAAACAAACTGATTCCGAAATGCATCGTAATTATCGTAAAAATAGGATCAGGATATTACAGTTTTACATCGAAGTATGACAGCATTTTCTCTTATATCTTACGATTTGATTAGTTTCGTTATTTGTTGATAACATATTTGGAAGTTCATTGGAGGAGCGCGGAAATATCCCAAATCTTGATTAGACGATCTTGACCAATGGTCAGCAATCTTCGCCTAGGAGCATCGAGATCCATTCCGACGACACTATGTTTCGCGTCATGGAACGAAGCTAGAGATGTTTGGCTAAATAATCGACGTACCACATTAGCAAACGAATTAGTTTCTCATTACTAGTCCCATTTTCTCAACTTACTTCGCAGCTTTAAGTTGTATGTGACACTGATCGCACACTCTCACTTCAAATTCGAAGCCCATCGCTGGTATCGGTATTCGTTGTGATGTACATCGTGCGCATAATGCACGACCGCAGTGACGGCAATGATGCTGCCTCAGACCCAATTGTCGTTGATCCATCATTGCTTTAATGTTCCAAAAGAATGGTCTTCCACAAGCCTAAATTCAATTATATATAGTTTCATATAAAATTAATAACAAATCGTAATTTTGTAATCACGTACTTGGCACGTATCTGATTCTACCCATGCTGCAGTTTCTTTTCTCTGCGCAGCCATGTCCCAACACACAATCACACCATCCTCTCCTCCTGACAGTAAGACACGTTCTCCGCTTGCATAGCACAATGCAGTTACTTTATTGCTGTAAAGTAAATAGTACTATAGAACATATGTCTTACGGACGATCTTAAGATAGATTGAGGAACTTACTGATGTCCTTGAAGTTCGTATGCCGTACCCTGACGACCCCCAATGTCCCATACTATAATACTTTGATCGAAACTTCCGGAGAACAGAAGTTGTTTCTCCGAGTCCCATGCTAACGTGTGAATGCTCCCTGTGTGTGCTTTTAACGTAGTAATTAGTGTAACACCGTTACCATCTAATTTCAACATTGCTATTTGTCCAGAGTAATCACCGACAAATGCATGTTTTGATTGTGCATCAAATCTGAGCAAGTTAAGGATGATCAATCCACACAGAATTATTTATTACTACTTATTTTAGTTGATAGCTTCCTCAAAAAGGATACTGTAAAGCGGTGTACCATGCATCTGTCTGATAGACTCCTAATTTCTGTCCTGTTTCTGAAGAATGTAATTGAAACATTTTATCCCGACCTATGCTTAAAACCCATTCACAATCTGGTGCAAATATGACACCTGTAACCCTTGCTTGATGAGCTGTGTATTCACGCATGGCAGTCATCCGATTGTAATCTTGTTCGAGAATGAATTCCTAAAAGCAGAGACTAACATATTCGTTCTAAACTAAGGGGAGAAATGAATAATTCATACATTTATAGTTCCATTTTCCAAACCGACGAACAGTTGTCTACTTTGTACACAGTAGTGCATGGATGTTGCACCAGCAGCCATGTACTGGCAGACACTTGGCCAATATTGGCCAGAATCTCGTTTCAACCATACTCTGACAGTTCTGCGAGAAGTGATTTTTTAAATATGCGAAAACATGAAATTCAAATGTTATCGTCGAGATAGAGCCGTGTAATTCTCATCTACCTGTCATCGCAAACACTAATTACACCATCTTCTCGGGGTATAATAACAGCCGCATTGACATCGTCGTTGCATCCTTCTAATTTCGATAGAAGTATCGGTTTGCGACTGGTACTGAATTTGTCATGATTTACTCCTTGGGCGGGCTTTATCTCTGCTGCCATTTCAATCGTCCAAACGTAGTATTCGAGGGGGACTTGTCATTTGACAGTTGTCAGACTTCGGTGTTAATCAAAGTTTACACACGTTACGAAGACGGAAGTTCCGATTTTTTATGAAATTGTGGAGAACCGACAGAGAACCTATCGGCACATTGCCCTATTACACACGTAGGATTTCTGAATCAATGGAAACGCACCTTTCAGGATGCTGATAATTTGGAGACTAGATAAGTTAATGAAGCTAGAACGAGATTATTCTTTGAACAGTCAACTTTAATTTAAGCCCCGTAGGCCTCTGTATACCTGGTGAAATTCTGAAGGTCTCTCCTTATTTCGTATTCACATCCAGTAGATGCAAGCTCCATGATCGTGAATCAATTTTGAAATTTCAAGGTTCGAATAAAAGTTCTGCAAATTATATCCTTATTGATTCATTGCAATACGTTTTTAGAGTTATAAAGAATACTTTTATGTACATTCCAATTCCAATGATTGTATCTTATGAGCAATGATTTTTTTATCTTTTTAAACGATTCTGAGTATTTTTCGGACCTTTCTCTCTAAATTCAGTGGTAGTTCCTTAAAATATGTTTACGGGAAGCCTAAATATTAACATTTTCATTGATTTATTTATTTTTTTTATTTCTTCCATTTTGTGTTCTCACCCAGTAGGTGCTGCCGCTCGTAGCGCAAGCCGACATTACGTCAGTGTCCCATAGACGGTACGACCGGTACGACGTACGGCAATTTCTACTCAAGAGCGGGAACGTGTCAAGTGTCACCGAAATTACCGTCCAGAAGACAGTTTCTTACCGGCTAAAGAATGCACAGAGAGCAGAGATCGTGGAAGATTACGTGCAGTATAGAACAGGTGAGTCAGATATTAAATTAAGTTGGGGTTAATAATTGTGACGCAGTTGTGTTAACACGAAAAATCGACGTAGTGTTTTATTTATATACAATGTATTTACAAGAGGACATTAATGTTGTCGAGTTACTAATTAATTTGTTCGTACGCTTAAACGTGTACAATCTGGCATAAGCATAGCTTTTTAGTCCTTTCGATTTTCACTTGTTTAGCGACGAAGGGTCGTGACCGTGCCTCGCAGAGTTGTTATCGTATCAGTGCCCGAGTCATTGTCGCAAACGTATAGTGTACGTTCCGTCGTCGTCCTCTCTCAAATACAGCTTTCTTGAATCACAGTGCTTCTGATCATCGTTTCCGAATATCGATGTGGCCTCTGGAGACTATGGAATGTCTGAAATCGTTTATGCAAATACTTTACAACGCTCGAGGAGGAAATCGCGTTACATTACTGTTTCGTGTTTTCACCATTTGTTTCATGATTACATGTGAATAGAACAAGAGCTTAGAATATAAAGTTTTGTTCTATATAATTACGGCCATAATTTAAGATATGACCTATGTATATATCTAGTTTTGACGGTTTATTAATTAATAGACTGCGGGTCTTCATGCAAAATAAATTAGATTAATTTAAAGTTTAATGCGTTTTAGATAAACATGTTTTTGATTAATTAAACATTAAATTACTCATTCAGCTTTTGATATTCTAAACTGTTTTATACACTACACGCAGCATTTATCACTTCTGTATATTGAAGTTTCATATAATTGCATAAAATCCGCAGTCCAGTGCTTAACCCACTTACGTTTGGGGATGCTCGAGGATAATCCGATTCTTCTATAATATCGTGAGATATTTCTCGGCCTAGTTCGAGTTGTCTTGGCCTCCGCGGTAGAGAGCTGTAATGTAGGAGCTTCTTATCTGAAAAGTTATGCCATTTAAAAAATTTCGAAAGTGAAATCGCTGTGTCGTTTTGAAAACGAGATGAGGAATAAGACTCGCTTTACCTATAAGATGATTGGTCAATGCCGTGGTCGGTATGAGATCAGGATTTCCATCTTCCTCTTCGCCTTTGCTCGCGTAAGTTGCGATACCGGCGATAGACTGTTGAGGCAGTGGCTTCGATTTCACTGGGGTGGCCGCGTGTTTTCGCCAAAGAGCCATTAGAACTCCGGTAACAATTAAGCCTAAGCCAGTCGCGGTTCCGCCCAATCCGATCAAGATCGGTGACATGTCCACCGAAGATGTCGATTCCCCTGTAAATCGAATATACCTATCCGTAAGTGTGAGAAATGATTAAAATATTCTAGTTGTATGGAAAGTAATATATTTCGATTCGGTGGCCAGTATGAACTCGCTTCAATTATAAGCTGGGATGCCGATCCGCGGCTCGTCCTTTTCTTCCAGCTCATGTTATACATATCCAATATTAAGCCTATGCTACGTGCTAAATGCCACGCGCTACCGTTCGCGTATTCTACTAAACAACACAGACACACACATACTTTTATATTACATATCTGACAATCCCAATTATCGATACGAGCAAATATATAGAAAATATGTTCGCGTGAAAAGTATAGCCTACTCGTCGATCCGAGATAACTAAGGATATACATACTTACGCACCGGTGAACTTAGCCACTCCTTTTAGGGCTTCTCCTTCCATGATAACCGGATCGCTCAATCCTTTCCCATTGAACGCGTAAAGGGCGACAGTCGTCGGTTTGCGTAGTTCCAATTCCCAATAAGGGTTCGCGGATTCCAACCATTGTTTGTCTACTTTCGCGACGAACTTTTGTGGTAATCCACCGTCGTATCCTTCCACGCAGGATATTCTGATCCATGAACCGGTCCGATTATGCGCCGTACAATTCTGCAGCGGGTACGGTTTGCCTGGGTGCGAGAGACGTCGATTTCGATAAGGCATATCAGAGGTTGGCAATTTTAGCGATGCTACTTTGAAAATCGCGGATGCTTATTAAACGGTAATTAAACGACACGTATGATAAAATTTAACTCTCGTGGGGTGGGGGAAAAAATCGAAATAACGCGGTAGTGTTTGCGCTTACCTATAACTTCGCTTTATCGTTCAACGAAATTGCGTATTCACCGCCAATGATATTATACGCTCTACGGTGGTCGTTATCGGCCATGGCAATGTCCGACGAATTAACGAGATCGCTCGTATGCAAATACAGGGGTACGAAAAAATTTAACCGAAAAACTATATACGTTATCGTCCGCGTGCTCGTACATTCCTTCAATTATTTTTCATGTACCTTTGTTCGTTTTATTGTTCATCATACATCGTAGCTCGTCGTAAATCGTTTGAAGCCTGTCGCGCTTCGTTTCGTCCCAAACTGGCACCGGACTTTTATTTTTATCCAAATTGAAATCATAGTATAAGAAAGAACAGTAGGCTCACTCACGGTATTGACTCCTGTGATTTAATGACCAACATGATTCTGCATGTTGGTAGTTGATAATTATTGATGATGGACGAAATAATTAATCGATTACTTCTGAAGTATTCGAGATAGAAGATAATTGTATACTATTTTTCTTGTAAGTAATAATATCGAAGTTAGAAGAAAAACAACTTCTATTTGAAGCATTTTTCGAAATGTTGAGAATTTTTTCGAGCTTTTGTCAAGGGGCTCTTTCAGATTTTTTGAAATTGTCGTTTATTATAAATAACTGCTTACTTGTTGCCCGTTGTTAAGCAAAAATGTTTCAAACAAAAGTTGCAGGTACCGTCAAAAGCTACAACTTTCGTGTGAAACATATTTTTCTACCGTTAATAGTTAATGAGTAATTTGCAATAAACTGTTTTATCGTTTTTTGTCAATTACTCGTTAACTACTGATGCTAGTAAAAAATGTTTCAGATCAAAGTAGCTTTAGTTGTCACCTACAAATAATACAATTTCCTCGTAGGTCCAACGATTTAGAAGTATTTGAGAGCAAATTAACAATTTGCCAAAAGGGTGCTTTGTAGTAGACTTGTTGACAGACTGAACTTACTGTTCATTCTTGTACTGTGTCGAAACTTTAGTTGTCGCGCACACGAATTCCGATTATTGTCGTCCGTTGAATTTTCACTTTAACGATCAGAGCTGACCGATTCGAAAAGAAGGAATGAGAAAATGGTAACGAACCTGCGGCGACTACTTGATAGAGGCACGGTTGTTTGGAGGGACCAGCGACATTACTGGCCCAACAGGCCAACGTTCCGTAATCCATGTCGGACGCTGGGGTGTAATTCAGCCTACTCGAAGTACCCTCGTTCGTGTACTTCGTGGACGGAATGTCTGTAAGGTCGACGCTGTTGTTGAACGTCCAATGAAAGGTGACGGAAGTTGGACTCGCTTCGACCTCGCAGACTAACCCGATAGTCTCATGCTTCGGTGCACCGTGAACCTCCTCGGACGATGGCGGCGTCGCATTCGGGTGTTTTCCGTCAGTCGAGTTTGAAACGTGTTTACAAACGGGGGCAACTGCGACACAAACGCTGTTCTTACTCTTCCGATCCAATCTGTGATTGTGATCGATCCGTAACGAAGCGTAAGGGATCACCGGATATACGGAAACACAGTATTCCTTCAATGAATGTGAAAAAGTCCTATAGGGATCAAGTTCGATTCCTTATCCTCCTTAGTAACAATTACGCTGGTTAAAACCAGTGAAATGAATAATGCGACATCGGTTCGGTTCTAATTAGTGGAATATGGTCTAGGATCGAATATATCTAATGTAAGCAGAGACTCTTCGGCTCCGACATCTTCACATTTATTGAAGAAATACTGTACTCGTGCATGTACTCACACATGACCTCGAGGTTAACTATGTTAGAACTGGCGCGGCCCTCGGCATTGACGGCCGTACATTTGTACTTTCCGGCGGATCCTCGAGTTATACTCTGAAGAACCAAGGAGTAGTCCGAGAGTACAATGCCGGCGGTGACGTTGTAACGGAGCTCTTCTTCCTGAATAGGAAACAAAATATTAGAGAGGTGATCCTGCGTCCGAGAGGATAGTCTGTCCGCGTTGGTTTTCGTTTGTTCTCGACAGTTACACATAGAGTACGTAAGACGATTACGAGTTTGCTTCGAATTGCGGAGCAAATGTTTATGGAAAAGGTAGAGGCGGAGACACAGTTCGCGATTTGTCACTGGTATCGCGCACATAGTTGAGTCTTCTCTCGAATATAATAGTTGCCGGGGAAGTTAATGACGTGGTCGGCGGCAGCGAAGCTACAAAACGTTGCTACTTACACTGTTTACGTATTGCGTTTGCTGCATTCTCTCGTATACGGCCGTAAAACCTATCGTACGCGCGAAAGAATCGAAATTCACCCTCCACTGTGTAAAAACGATTTTAAAATTTGCCAAACTGCATACGTATTTACATCCATGTATGCACATACATACATATGTATGTACGTAGCTAAGTAGATAACTGTAGTATATATCAGCGGCGCGAAAATTTTCCCACCTCTACTTGGTAACTCCATTTATACGCGTACACGCGAGCGATATTATAATTTCCTCTTAACTTCCCAGCAAAGGCTTTGCGCGCACAGATTGCGGCCCAAGGCGTGTCAGCGCCAAGTAGACGGATGGAAATTTCGGGAACTCGATTATATTTCCGTTGCCTCGAGGACCCCGCGGTCCGTCCCGCATCAAATTAGACTATTCGAATACAGTACCTAGTAGGTAAGATCGATGTCGAAGCTGTTACGCGTGCATACGAGTCACGTATCGAAAATGATACGGTACGAACGCGAACCGTTTTATGAGAAAGGAATATTTGAAGTCTGAACTGGAACGAGTTAAGTTTCATCGTATCGTTTGAAATTTCTGAGTTTCCGTTGGCCGCGACGCGATTAGACGATAAATAATAAATATTCGCGTCAGAGTTGGGAACAATGGTAGCGGATACCACGTATTCGTGGCCGAGAAAGGAATACGTTTGCTTTTACGTATTATGAACGGATGCTGGAAAAGGGGAATGGTAGACAAGAGTAAGAACGATAACACTCCCATTCTCATGTCGTGGAATATCTCGGGGCACGCGCAGCCAGCTTCCTCGACGCCTATTCTCATCCGTCGGATTGTGCATCGACCGTGAGTCTTTCCTCGTTCTCGGATTTGTTCCCGCGATCGATTTTCCTCGGTCTTAAATAATTTCTATACGAAAGGATGATGAGTATTTTCGAAAACGATTGGAATATTTCGCGAACTTCTGTGCGGAGACGGTCGATATGCATTCGTGCTTATCCGCGGAAACATTTTCACGGGAACATTTTTACGGATTGGTAAACCAGGTCTGGCCAGTGATTCGTGGCCAATTTATCGGTTATTCGGGTTTGGTTTTTGGACTCTGCGATCGCGAATGGACGGGAAGCGAGAACGGTGGCGGCTCGTAAATTTACAATAATTTCGACAGAGTGCACGCGGGTGGAGGCAGTAGAGAGCAACGTTCCAGGACTCGTTTCAAATTACATATCCTTCTCCGTCAGAAGAGTTCTCCCATCTGCCGCGATAGGGAAACTCTTCCTCGGGACTTTTTAAACTCTGTTACTTATTCACCGAATTTTTCTCTTACTTTCTTCTTTTATCCGGCATTGAATCATATCTTCCGCGACGTCCTATTATTAAAACTTTTTCTCTCCGATATCCGATTTTACCAACTTTCGATTATTCGCGTTCGTTCGATCGTAATTCTGGCCGTTGGAACTCGAGCATTAATTCGCGAATCGAGAGCAACGAAAGATGAATCAAGAATTCGTCGTCAATGAAAGACGAAAGAATTCGAAGTAGAGAGAACTAACGGGAAGGCAATGACGAAGGTAAAAAACGAAACGATGCGATCCGTCTAATCTAATATTACGCAGTCTACTTCGTCGAAGATTAAATATCGCGTTATCCGATAGGTAGATCGGTAGTTCTTGTATTTAACACGGTACACGGTTGACGACGATGCTGGATCTGGAACGAAGCTGGCGTTGCGATCTCGAATACTATTACCGAAAGAGAAATAACGAAGGGAAAGGATGAGGACGATTTCAGGATTTCCCTCTTGGGGCCGAGATAGAGACAGAGATAGATGAATAGATAGATATGGATAGAGGGAGAAAGGCGCGAATCCAGCGGAGAAAATGATGGAAAGCGTAATCTCCCTTAAGAGGCTTAACTCGACGATCCTTGAGTGACCGAAGATAACGCTCGAGCTGCGCAGGTGTGCGAGGCAGGAGTTTTTCAGGATATTTTTCACGAGTGGCAAGGCGGAAAGGCGAAAAGGCGAAAAGGTGAAAAGCAACGGGCTGACAAGCGCTACTTTCTTACGGCCTTCCCTTTATTCGCCTACGTACATTGTACGCTCCACGCTCGTTCTTCAATCCGCTATATCGTATATCGTTGCGCTCGATTTCGTTAAACGAGAAAAAAACGATGCGACGTGTTTGACGCGTACGATTACGCAGGGTCGCATACCGTCCCTTTGATTTCTCTTGCATTTATCGGTATCGGAATTCTGACGGTGCGACCAAACTTCATCGCGTATCTTTTTATGCTCGCACGCGATCATGCTCATGGTACGCGCGTGGGCGATAAATAAAAGGCGGTCGTACGTACCTCGTGAAACCATTGTAATTTGTAAGCAACCGGGTTCGCTCTAACTTTACACTCGAAGTAAACGTCGTCGCCTTCTTTGATGTTTTTCGGGTCGAGCGACGAGCCCATCTTGAGAGTGACCACTGGGGCGACTAGAAAATCAGAATACACAATTATATTAGAATCGGACGAATACTCGAGATCTGGATCGATGTCGTTAGGAGGGTACGGCAATCGAACGTGAGGCACAAGGGTCCATAAGGTGATAAGTCGACTCGTATATCTCGTCTATGGTTCGACGATTTTCTCGGTTATACTCGCCGCTAATGTCCGGCGCTATCGTCGTTAAACTGACAGGATCGGGATTTAGAATCGTGGTTCGATCACGAATCGGAATGAAAAGCGCCGCGGCCCGGCGCGACTTAACGATTCCAGGAACGCGAAATTTCCTCGCTACTTCGTAAGTATCGAGACGTTGGGTACTGGCCCGATTCGAAACGAACCCATTTAACTGCGCGAATAATGGGACTCGATAATGGCTTTTCAACGTACAAAGACAATGGAGTCACGATTTATCGTCCGTAGTCGGCATTCCTCTTGGTTCCATCGCTCGCGGCGCGCGCGACTTCGACTTATCGATCTCGATCGTTAGCGTTTCGAACATCGTTTTTCTCGGCTGGCGAAAGTACTCGTATTTCAAAGTAACCAATTAAATTCGAACTAGTCTGTGCGCCGACTAGGACGAAGACCCGTGTAAGCCCGTTTAACGTTTACAAGCACGGAGTTAACTTTGGCGTTCATAATGAACCCACCTCAACGACGCTAATAATCCCTACTAATAATTCCACGAGCAACGAGCCGCCATAGAATCGAGCAGAAATAATAGAGCCTACAGCTGCGTACCACTATTCGCAGTCCTTATCTTCGGTAATGGGCAACTGGAAACGCAAAGGAGAGGAAACGCGAATACGTATACTCCAACAGCGATCCGTGTTCATCGATGAACGACGCGAACGAGTAAAGTCAAGACTTCCCGAACCGATGCTGTATACGTATAGTTACGTATCTATTTGCCGGTAGAGAGGCAATGTTTCCGACTTGCAGATTCGAGCTTTGTACGGGCGCAGTTTTATTCCGAGTTTCGAAAGAGAATAAACGACATTGGGTCGAGTTAAGTTTTTTCGCGATGTCGAACGACAAAGAGTCCACCATGGGTTTCGCGTCTCTCGCGGTATCGGAATACGGGACAATTCTAGGGGAGGTACGCGTCTTTCTTGCTATAAATCAATGACTCGCTTCTCACTCTTTCCATTCGCGACGTCCCTCGTCTCGCTCACGACCAGCCCACGAGAGCGTCGCGTATTTCTCGCGTACGATGTTATTCGTTACTGCTAACCGTCGCGTTGCATCTAATTCAACGACAGAAGTAGCCCGTGTCGCAGTCGGCATTCCGACGTGCGAGTTACCGGGACAAAATTAACGACCAGATAAGATCACGGTGTTTTCCGAGAGAACCAAACGTACCGAGGCCCAGGCGAAACGTCACCTTCCGACCTCTCTTTCTATCTCTTTATTTATCTCTCTTTCTTAGCACGGCGCCGCGTCGTCTTTCATCTCGTTACGTCTTTCCGACTCCGAGCGGAAACTTTATTAAATATTAAAAGGGAATCTACAATGGCTGCCTTTTCCTCTGTGCTCTTTTCTTCCTCGTTTCGCGTTTCACGGTGTCGTTTTGTCATTGAAGCTCGTCCTCGAAATCACTCGACGTCTCATCATCACGCTGCTACCTCGCAACGAGCTACTCGCGACGTGACGCGCAACGAATTCTCTAGTAACGTTGCTCTTTTTCTCCCTTTCTTCCTTCGTTCTCTCTCTCTCTCTCTCGTTCTCTGTTTCTCGTTACGATCGAATGACAATCGATCGAAAAAAAAAAACGAAGACGGATTCGATGCAAATTTGCGAACTCGAAAGGCCGCGGCGGAACGGATTTCCGTTCGTTTCGCGGTGTACTCTCGTTTGTTTACGACTCGCATGCGATTGCCCGTTCTCGTTCCCGTTTTCGTTCGGCTAAATGTCCGGTTGTTCCGTCCAAGTTAGATACTACGTACTCTGCTCGATGCTCGCTCGCGTGACAAACGAAAAGTTACGCGAGAATTTTAGTCGCCGTGTCCCGAACGTTTCGAATAATCGAATATATTATCGATGGTTGTCGTCCCGTCGCGTCGTTCGCGTCGTTTGTCCGTTTATTGATTTCTTGTCGGACCGACGATACGGTGTGATCCGTGGTGTTTGTCGGACGCGGAGTTATGGGATGACAAGGAATGAAAAACTGGACGATCACGCAAGGGGAGAGGAAGATTGGAGCGAGACCGCGATAAACACGGACCGGCGCGCCGTGTGATTGATGAGCGACGCGGCGATAGAGATCGATTCGAATTTCGGTGCAATATTTTCATTGGTATTTCATGAAAGCCGGATGGCTACATCTGTATCAGCTCCCATCCATTGGTTTCATCGAATTTGCATTTATGATCCACCAATTAGCGATTTCTCGACGGGCCATATTCGATCGCGTTCTTGTCCCCGTGGTTAAACGCGACGACTATGTATGCACATACGTGAGTATGCACGTCGACCATGGTGTCGCGTCGCGTCCTCATTTATACGTACGTAGTAAACCTGATTCCGATCACGGTTCTCGAGATTGCTTCGTGTGCGTTTGTTTCCGGCTTCCAGGTTGATTGGTATCAACGTATCTGCTTTCCAAGTGAAACTTCTAAATTCCAATTGCGAACGATTTTTTACCCGATAATTAAACACAGAGTAAGTCAATAAAAAGTATCCACTGCTCATTGAATTCACTAAATAGTCCGGTATTTAATTTAATTGTCAACATATAACGGTGAATCCGTACACGATTTTAATTAAATTATTAACTGACACGTTATTGTACCATATATATAATATTTCTCACTGGCTCACTCCATATGCAATATGAATGAATATGCGAATATGCGCCGATGAGGAATGTTAGAACTTGGAACTGCGTAATTGTTTAATTTTTAATAAGTTACACTCGGCTCGGCGTTGCGCGTAATTTAATTCTCCAATGAAACGCAGTAACGGACGAGAACGAGCTTTTGTGGCAGGAAAAATATTTCATTACCCTTCAAGATTTTTACTCTAATTGGTAAAAATATGATTTTATTAAATTCTTTCGACCGCGAGTTTATTTTGACAAACTTCCCGTCACAGCCGGATGACTGCGTCGCGTCGGTCAAACGCACCGCGAAAAACGTACTCTTGCTCGTTCCATTCGAACCGATGCATGTGCTGCGATACATGGAAACCACGCATGTTCGAAAGTCGGACCGTGTGTAAGCAGTAAGCACAACGATGATATACTCGCTTTGAGGGTGCTCGAAGATTAAAAATTACAGGGAAGAAACGATGAGGAGAGAGTTAGAATTTAGTTGAACGTTTAATTAAGTAAAATTACCTAATTATATACAATTTAAAAGTTGTTCTTTCATGCAGTCGCAATTGTATATTGTTGAACGTTGCCACGACGTTTCGATTGTTTCTGCTATCCCAAGACAGTTGGCTTCGATTCCGATCGGACCGAGTCGGTTGAGGCTAGAACACGGACGTGTGGAATACGGAAAACTTGCAGTTGGTTCTTATTTTTCGAGATTTCCCGAGATGAATAGCAAACGCCGCGGGCACGCGGAAAATTTAAATTTCGAGTAGAATTTTGAATTAAGGTCACAGGTCACGCAAGCATATCCGATCCCCGGCTATAAATCGTCGCCGTATGCGATGGACGGTATATTTAAGCCGAGCTTAATTCGAAACGATGTTTCATCGGTTGACGTGTCGAATAATTATTAGCGATCGCGATGATACGATAACGTAAATCGAGGACGTTAAATTTGGAACTGCTCGTAAATTTATTTGACCGGATCTAGTAGGACCTGTTAGTTTTCAGCTTTGGTCTATCCATCGAAATACTTCGTCCAGAGGTTTTATACGCACGGGGCTGTTGTGCTACATTGTGAGAGGAAAGCAAATTCGATCCTCGCCGCCGTGTCATGTACACAAGCACAGAAGAACAGATCGAGCGTTCAATGTATTTTTGTTGACCCAGTAAAAGCTAGAAGAAACATACTTTGAAGGAGTTTCTGTGTCTCTTTCACATGTCGATAGAAAAAAAAGACTTTCCGATTCATTTTCTTTCTTTCAATCGGTCTCAAGTCTCCCATTTGGGCGCTCGATTTGCTGTCCTTGATCATGAATCATTTCACGAGTAATTTCAAAGAACGAGGGGATAGCGATTGGCTTATTCCGGTCGACTCGTTATTTATAACGTGATACACGCGCATTGTAGAAGGCAAACGCGGTACAGATTCGATCGTATACGAGAGACACGAGTCGCGAACAGATTGTATTATAGTTATAGGTACGTAGTATGTCTAGTATTTGCGCGTGCACGCGCATACCTACGCGGGTATGGCATACGGTGTACGATGTACGATATACGATGTATGTAGTGTCCGGTAATGGAAGGTAGGAAATAGCTTTCCGGCAAATGAACATGCGCTATGTCTCGCGAATTCCACACGGGACCCGATGCGACACGATGCAACCAAACGGATCGTTATCTAACTGACACGTCGCATCATCCCTTTCCCTTTCCTCCCGCTATTTCCATTCATATGTATAATAGTAGTGAATGGATCTCAGATACAGTGCATTTATGTATCCGCATTGAAAAAGAACGATCGTAAATCGTGCCGAGCCCCTCTAGCGCGATTCTCGAAGAAACGCAAGTAATTCCGACGATCGACGAGTTCGAACCAAAACGCACGTCAGAGCAATTAGGCGCGAGGCATCAGTCCGCCATTACCATTAGGTTGTTCGTTTATTTAATTTCATCGTATGGTGACTTGTGCGTGTCGGTCTCAAGAGATGTACTGACTAGTCGATTTTATCCCCTTTCTACGCAATCACAGTGCCAAGCCGTACTTTTCTCCCAACTTTCAATTTTTTCCCATCGATATGCTTTGCAATCGCGACAACGTGGTTACATTATTACTTTACTCTTGATCCTGAGCGCGAGGTTGAATCAGATTCGTTTCTATCGGTTTTATACGGCGCGGCGTCGCGAAGCGTGTAAGCCCGCGTACACGTTTACGTTATCCTTAGCGGATGATATTTCGGTCGTTTGGATGTCGGAAATAATGCCGTCACAAGTGAATCGCGCGAGGGATGCTAGCCATCCCTGATGAAGCACGTATCGTTGCCACTGACAGTTCTACATGACATTGATAGATACGTACGTACAGACGTATAGGTATGTACGCATCCATCTCTGTATCGTTGGCTATGGTAAACCAACCAATTACGGGTCACTTTACAAAGATAACGACCAGCAATTTTCTCTATTAAACGCGATACAATACCATTTCCCACCTAAGTAAGGTAGCATCCGATAGATCATATATATCCGAAGAGATGAATTTCTGAAAATCTATTATCGGTTCAGCGTACAGCATAGATAAAAGTGGACAGTGTAGGTGTAGATGCACGTGTTCGTCACGAATATTTATTTGTAATGTAATTAAGTCGACGAGACACGACAAGACGACGACGACTGCTGCCTATACGTATAGAGCAGCAGTTAGGTATTGGAGTACTCGCGAACTATCGCTGATTTAGTCATTGCCGTATCCGATTGGGAAACGACGAGGACGTGGAATCGCAGAGGAGTAGTCGATCGGACCCGTAGTCGTAAATAAACGGATAACGATAGCTCGTATCTGGCTTAGGTTATGCAGCTAAACGTTGCCAGGACAGATTTGTCGGTACGCAATTTCCACTACTAGCTGCTCTGCTACCGTATTACCGTGATAGAGCTAGTAGTTTCGTAAGGGTAAGGCTCTCTCTCTATTGTATGCTCGCTTGACACGGGGTACGACGGCGGACTCCGGTCACCATCCGATTCCATTGGGATCGAATTAACCGTGAATCGTACGGTGCTTGTTACAGGTCAAATTACCCGGATAGGAATCGACGAGAATGTATACTGTATGTGCATACTTACAATGTACTTTCAACTTCCATCGATCTTCGATTCCGGGCACTTGAAGCTTCGGATTCGTCGCACGGCACACGAGAAATTTTCCTTCGTCCTCGATCGATGGTGTCCATTGCAGAACGCTCACGCTTGTTCCATCTTCCTGAAACTGATTGATTCGTCTTGAGGTGGGCACTTGGACATGGGACACAGCATTCGCTTGTAACCAGCGTTCAGGTAAGTGTTACATTTACATTATACGGCCATAGTGGTGGATGTAGATTAGAACATTTGTGAACCGGACAATCCTTGTATTAGCCTTGTAGTAGCATTCGATTCGTTTGTAATTAAAAACGAATGCTTCAGTCTTTACGTTAAGATACGTGCATGGGTCACGCTGTTAAGGATGTATTGGCTATACAATCAATCCCAAAAGTTTATGCACTTTAGAAACGCATTTTTTAAAAAGAAATCAGACGTCGGAAGAACATTGCTAATAATAAACAACAACAAAAATTTTTCGATTTTTCCGAGATTTTTCCAAGGGGTACACCTTCAAATTCTTCCAAATTTTCGTTTTTAGCGAATAACTCCCAAACCGTTGGATCTACGGGAAAATTGCACCAGAGAAATTGTAGATCTCGTCGTCCTCTACAAGAAAGGTTCTATGCAATTTTCCCGTATCTCCAAGGGTTTAGGAGTTATTGAGGAAAAACGAAATTTTTTTCCAAAAGTTCGCTGTTTCGACGGTGGAAAGACCGAATTTCGTCAATGCCAATAAAATGCCATATAATCATATGTAACTTATTAAATATCGAAGTTAGAAGGACAACAACTTTTATTTCAAGCATTTTTCGAAATTTTGAAATTTTTTTCGTCGGTGTCAATACTTAATTGGATATTTCCTTCTATACTTTTTAGCACGTAGCTATTCATTATTAGCATTGTTCTTCCGACGTCTGATTTCTTTTTAATTATAGGAAACGCGTTTTTCTAAGGTACATAAACTTTTGGGATTGATTGTATAGCCAATACATCCTTAAAGCGACGCGTGATCTGTTCTCGGTATAAATGATGCATCGAATACAATCCCAGATTATAATCCTGTCCGAACAGCCCGATGTTATATTATATTAATTGCTTCACGTGTTCCAACTTTCCAACCGCGATAACTTTTAGTAGTCGGGATGGAAAAGAACACTTCTAAGTCTAACTTCTAAGTCTTTTTCATGTTTATCGAAGGAATATTATATTAAATCGCGTTAACGATACGAACGTCCAGGTGTTTGAGGCGTGTGGCACGTGACATCGGACTATACTAGTCGTTTCTAGAGCTATACTTGCTCGTACATCATTATACTTGTGGATCCAGTAACGGTTACCACCGATAGTCCTGTTATCAATCCAGATGTTTGCGGATGGATCCATAGCAATTACATGGATGCAGCCCGTAAATTATTATCTACCGAGCTGGCTGTCATTCTCATGAAACTATTAATCCGCTTGGTACTACTGGCAACGTTGACATGACGATAAATCGTCCCTATGTTTTCTCGGAATATCGGCACCGGCTCGACGCTCGACATCAATTTCTATGCTCCGTCGAATAAATCGCGACGCGCCATGGGCCTATCTTTCTCTCTACGTTAGCCGCGAGATTTGACTCTTCCGTTCCTTTTCCACGAACAGTTTCATCCTTTACCCGTGAAACTTTATCGTAGTTTCAGATCCGTAAGAATATCTTAAGTCGCATCTCGTTTAGGTCACAAGCCTCGATGCGTTATCGAGCGTAAAAAAATGATTTTCGAATTCTCTTGTTAGATTGAATACGCGATCGATGGCGATCATTCGCGTGATTGAACAAACGAGCGAACTAAAATTTGAAACGCTTCCGACGCGATAGTATAAAAAAATATTTGACTTGTTGCCTGCCGCATCGACGCGACAGGTAACGATGTTCTTTTTTCGGACAAATAACAAACAATTTTTCCTCTATTTTCGCCTATTGTTGTCTATTTTCAAATGTTAGATACCTACTCGAAATTTACGTCCACTCGTCGTGGACGGTACAGTATCGGACATCCGTGGACAGAGAGAGGATTTCGTTTCGCGGAAACGGGTGAAAGATTTATTTCCACGCTGCTAACGTTCCTAATTAGAATACCTAATGCGAATATCCGTTTCGTTTTTTTCATCGCAATTTACGCGATCGTTCACACGTTCATGACCCACGGAATATAAACTGCGGCTATTTTTTAATTTTTTTTCCCTGGTACGGCATATTTTTACACGTTTTGAGCTATATCATCGATTACATCCAGAGTCTGCTGTTTCTGCGATCACGCCTGCCGGTTTAAATTCTGCATCGGTGACGATGGTAACGCGGCGTACGCTCGACGCGGTTCTATCCGTACACGTACGCAGAATAATCTGCGAAGCATCATTTCGGATAAGCTTCGAATTAGTAGTAGGTCGGTCGATGAGAGAGGAGCGATTTCGGGAGATTAATCGGTAAGACGCGCGCGGAACGCGTTGGAAGTTACGAGCACCCGTGTCGCTGACACACCCACCACGCCTGCTCCATTTCGAATCGCCCCTATTTTTTCCGACCTGTCCCCCTTCACCATTGTGCCAGAATTTTCCCATCCGATGAACACGGCACACGAGATGGCCTCTCCGTTCGGTAGGTTTTCATTTTCGGAGAGATGTACGAAGTTAATTTTATCGAAATAACAGTTAACCGGAAAATATCGGTCGCTTTTCCGCGACCTCTCGAACCTGTTATTCGTCGTGCGCGGTATCCGTTACCCATTATCCATTAATTACATCCGCTTCGGTCCGAGCACCATCGTTGTTTTGTTCTTCTTTCGTTTCCCTATCGTTGAACGGTAGAAGAACAGGGACCGTAAGTTTACCACGCTGCTTTTCCTCTCGTAAAACATTTTAAAAGCCAGTGCGGTTCGCGCAAACGATAATCGAGTAGACGATCATTCGAGCTAAAGATAAGAAAAACAGGGTATGTTCGGGAGGGCGTCTCAAATTGGCGGAGTTTCAACTGTTGCGCCACGGAGTTCCTATCGAGCAGTGTCTAGATCGTACAGGTAGTACCTAAGGGCTAAACGCTGACAAGGCTGAATGTACTTCGATCGAACTCGTAATTTGCGATGATGACGTCTCGTTACTCACGTTTTTGATCGTCCGCTTGAGCTGCTTCGAAGCCTTCCACCAAGTCAGAATGGCAGGTGGTTTCGAACCCGTGCTCTGACACCTAGTTTCGTACTTCCTCCCCACCGATAGGATCTTATCCTTACCCAGAATTTCCACTTTCAATGGTTTCACTGAAAACGAAAACACACGTTCACGTTTGCGCTCGTAATCGTCCTCCGAACCAGCGGAGTCGCATCGACGCACCCTATAACGATTATACGTATCGTAAATTTCCCGTTAAACGGCAAGTTGTTCGACGATCTTCCGTCGGGTTCAACCGTCGTTCGTTATCGTTTAAAGGGCGAGATTGCGGGTGCGTGGCCGACCAACGAGAAAATAACTGAGCGTTAATTAAACGTTCGGTATCGTCAGCGCGGCAGCGGCGGACCAGCGGGTTCGAAAACGGCTCGGGTCGGCGCTATCTGCCGCGGCGCGGTGTTACGGGCGGTTGTAGATAGACGCGCTTTGTACGCTGACGCAAACCGGTAACGGAACGGGACGATGGCACGGGAGCGCGAGCGTAGCCGTTTCTCGTTACCGGCCTGTAATTATTGGGTATTGTTCGTGCCCGTTAAAGCGTTCGTTACGTTCACGTCTACGCGTTTCCGCTTCTCCGGTGGAAGTTCGCGGTCGGCGAGGGGAATCTTTTAAGCAAGGTTCGGATCAACGCGGGGAAAGTTGGTTTCCGCTCGAGGTAAGAAAAATCGCGAACCAAGGTCCGCGCGTTCGCGGCCGGGTAAAGTTGGCTCCTCCCGCTCGTTACCGGACGACAGCGGCTCGTTTTGCCGTTGCGTTCCAAAGATTTTGATCGCTTCGCAACTTATTCGACTTTAGAGCTCCCGGAGATAAATACGGTGAAAAGGGAGGCGACCGCGCATCGGAGACCCGCAGAGATTTTCCAACTTTCTTTCCGCTGATTTCTATAAGACCCCGGTGAAACTTCCTCGAGACGTAAATTTGCCGCGCGACCAGCTCCCGTAGCCTGGTTCTTACGGACAGTTTGAATAATCATCACCGTTTTCTCCTTTCCCTACCTTCCTGTTCGACGCGCTGCTCGTATCAATCCGTCGACCTACCCATTCGCGTCTACACGACCGGCGAATAGTTTTCTTGGCACGCGACTTACGTACGCGATTCGTATCTGGATCTAAGGCGAGTTTATTTTTGGCGAGGCACCATTTTCCGTGAGATTAGGATAAAAATCTCGTGCCGAACGTTGAATCAGTTATCGTTCCATATGGTCGTCGAACGGAACGTAGCGTTTGTACGATTTCTCGTGCGAGAGACAATTTCCGGTACAAAATCCTCGTTTAGATGGAGAGGCGAACGAAAAGCGAAGAAAAATGGAAGGAGAAACGATGCGTTACGTGGTTTCCCACCGCTACCTATGTACGTACATACGTATACATCGGTAGATATACATAGATATATACGTATGTACGTGAAAACTATGTCACAGCCAGTCTCTACGCCGCAAACTACTCGTTTTTTGTTCTCCCGCGTCAACAATTTTGACGTACTTACTACCGATCCTGACAGTTTCGCGTGTTTCGGTTTTCGGGACACCGCACCGGTTCTCTACACTGTCCAAACAAAAAGTTTTCTCGTTTCGCCTGTCTACACAGCTACGCGTCCCGTCCGACGTGGAGAGTCTCGTTCCTTTCCCGTCTCTTTCGTTCTGCACCCGCGTAGAGATTGATCGAAGACGATCCGAAGTAGCCGTTGATCAGATGAGACGGATAGGTCGAGCAGGACGTGCCGCGTCACTATGCTTCTTCATTAACACCACGTTCGAATACAATATACGATGTGAAAATGAAGATCGATGCGGGAGGTGGCACAGGAAAGAACGTACCGCAAAAAAAAAGGAACGAAATGAAGGACGAAATGGAGGGTAAAAGAATAGGAGAGAAGTTTAAATGGCTCGTTCGTAGATTAAGCCGGTTCGTAGTCGCGGAACGGGGGCGTACATTAGAGGAACGGTCCGTATGCGAATTGCCGACTTAAGTGAAATTTTACCGAGGCCAGCCACGATTTCGACCGATATTATTACCACGATTTGGCAAAGCCGCAGTATCCCGTATCGTTGCGTTCTCGTCAAGGAGATGGCCGATAACCTTTTGCCGTGTCGCACGATCTCAGCTAATAAACGAAAGATAGAATTTTTCGGAAACGCGTGTCACGCAGCCATGTACGAAACTTGGAGAAGCTTCTTACTATTCGAATCCGAATCAGATACAATTCGGGGTTTCTAACGAGAGTCGAAATGGTCCTTGTTTTGGCGAAACCGCGACAGGGTCGATAGGTTACCACCAATTTAGTTGTAGGCAAACAGCGACTAACAGTTGCGCAAAATTGTACGTATGTAAAACCCAGACCTATATACATATATTTACATATAACGGGTTAATAACCGAATACTTGTCTAAGCGCGATTGCACGATTCGATAAACATCTGCGCAAATATTTGCAGTAAATTTCTATGCGATTTGTTATCGTTATAAAACGTGAATAAACGATTCGACGGATCCGAAGCGATGGGAGACGAGAAACGATGGAGGTAGATATCGATTCGTTTGCCATGTCGTACGGTCACCTCTCCAACTCGTTAGACTTTCGAGTAGCAAAGTAGTTGAACGGAGTGCCCTTCGATTATTCGGCCGTGCCCCTCGTCTAAGCCGGTCCCAATTAACCAACGATCGAGGACTTCAAGTTATCGACGAGTTCCAATGTTTTGTTCGAAACGGCTAAGATAAACTTGGAGTGCTCGTTAGGCGTCGTATCGAGAGAAAAAAAGAAACTGACTACGACATAAGCTACGTATACATATGTACGTATGTACTAGGAAATAGTCGGGCATTTAACGGTTAACCACCGTCTGCTGCCGCGTTACCACCTTCGTGCTGAGACCCAGCGATAAGATGGAAGTAAGCAATTAAGAAGAATCGGAAACGGGAATTACTTAATCGAAATTGGATCGCCTTCTCGGTTTATACGGCTCGAATTTCTCAAGCTCGCGATGGGATCTTTCATCGAATCTGTTTAAAACGATTTTTACATTATCAACAAAGGAAAGCGCAAGAATGGTAAAGGAAAAGAAGAGGTCGGGTCGAAAGCGAAAGCAAGGTGAAAAGTTTCGCGGTTCGAAGGGATCTCCTTTCTCCGAAGGATTTCTCTGGTTTGAGGCTGATTTTCAGTTTGTTCGTACCATTTCCCAAGCGGCTCTTTCGTATTAGCATCGCCGGCGCGCACCTTTTCAGTTTCTTCTCGCAACTGTAACCGAAACGCGCGATTCCTGGCAACACCTTTCGCGGCAGCCAATTTAATTCCAACTTGTCTGTCCGTTGGAAAGTTTCTCTTTTTTAGCACGCTCGATGATGTTATTAATATTAATTTCCCGTATCGAGCGTCGTCTGCAATCACGGAGCTGCTCGTCGAACCGACCCGGAGAAGTTTTTAATCGGATCACGGACTGCGGAAACTTTACGTTCACGCAGAATTCGAATGGAGAAAGTCGAGTAGTTCTCTCGTTCTCTTACTCGGACGCGCAAATTGGAGGACGGCTCGGAATTTTAAAGGGAAATATGCGCGGGTGCAACGATAGCAGAGAGATGGTATCGTACGTATTTACCGTACAATACGGGTAGCGCGAAACTGTATAGAACTCGAATACATTTATTACGCGCGTAGAATACAGCGAAACGCGTGTTAAATTGCACGACATACTTTTACGTTTTAATCCCTTCCGATTCGGGGTAACCGTACCTGTCTCGTCCCCGCCGTCGCTCGCCTTTCACCCTGTCCTCGTCGTCGTTACCGTTCGCTACGTTTAATTCGCTTCGATTAATTTCCTGGATTGAGAAATTTAGCGATGTCGAAAGCGGAATAGGTTATTCTATTCGTCGGGCCGGGTTTGGAAGCTTTTACGGGTCATCGGCGTCGTCGAAAGGAGTCGAGCCGAATCGTCGCCGATTTTATTGGGATCGCGTATTTATCCCCAGGGTGAAATCTTTCCATTAAATCTGCCAGAGAGGACGATTCCGTGCGTTTCTCTTCGATTAGACCGATTGTCGGAGCCGGGAGGAATCTCGTGGAACGAGATCCACGATGAACGCGGCGCGATGAAGACGGTTTCTTTTCAACGGGCGCGTAGGTATTCCATAAAATTGAATGGAACATCGTCGCGGACGTATCTATCGGTTCGTTCGAATACCTGGCCCGTTTAGTCGCGGTACGAGTATCTATCTAGATTGGTCGCGCTTATTCGACACGATCCACTCGCGGAACAGTTATAGAAAAAATCGCAGTCTTTCACCCGAAATACGCGCGTAACGAGTGGTAGAGCGAAATGGGTAGTAGCTTTGTGTAGCTGCATCCGGTCAAACATTCGAGTTTCTTGCTTCACGGATAATTACGGTCGTTAATTATCGACCAGTTAAATTAACGTAATCGAGTCAGCTTTCACGGTTCGTCGAAGAGGCAAATTGCCTACTGTTCCCTTAGTCGGATTAAACGACATTATTGAAAATTTTTCTCCCTTTCGCAACGCGAAACGATGGTTAATCGCGATCGTTCGGAATCTACGTTTTACTGGTCTCTGGATCTCTCCTCTCGACGGTCTTGTTCGTTCCGACGTAAGGTGACGATAAAATAGTGGCAATTCAATCCACCCATGGGATATGCACACGAACGGGTCATGAAACGTCGCGTCGGAACAATTTAGGGCGTAGCGTTGGTCGTAGCAAGAACGACTAGACTACTAGTGTAGTCTGGCCATAATCGGAGAGATCTACTTACTGTGGAGTTCGATGACGACGGCAGTGGTAGGCGGCGGCGCCAAATGAGTATTGGTTGCCTTGCAGAATAATTTGGCATGATAGTGACTCCTTGTGAGACCCTTCAACGTCACGTTGCTTATGGTTACGACGTTGATTTCGCCACCAGGCCCTTGGGTCTCTCGAGTCTCCGTCGACGCATCGATTATCTGCGACTCCAGGTACCACGCGACCCGAGGCCTAGGCTTCCCTAAATCGAACAGACGATTCATCTTACAATTAGAGCGCATATACATGCGATGCATATGCATATGCATATGCATACGCGCATATTACATGTTATTGGAGCCTATCTGATCGTTTCGCACAAGAATTCTGGCGGAGACGGTGTCTGCACGATTAACGCTATTAGATCGACGAAGTGTTATCTCGTTCATTTATTCGTGTTAAATCATTTTTCGTTGTATATATTGTAAGTGTACGAATTGTACATAGGTATGTCTGTGAATATATAGTATTCGGAGATTCGGACTGACCCGAGGTAACCGCTGTTACTAGGAAGAACCGTGTCTTGATGCCTCGGAGGCTGAGAGACAGTCGTCGATCACGGTCGACCTCGATGGGACTTATTCGCTCGACAGTAGCTAGCTACTAGCTATGTACGTAAACGTATACGACGTAACTACAAACTACAGGACTGATTTCGATGGTAATCGGCTGACGCGATGTCTGCTCGTCAATTTATCGCTTCCTATGCACGGTGCACACCCACCTAATTCCCCGAGTTAATTATCCGAGTACATTTGCTGCTTAGAAAACCGTGAAACTGTCGGCGCTCGCGATCAATTCATGCTATCCGCATAATATACGCGTCTCGTGTTTTCAAACTCGTGCGCGAAGAAAAGTCGTGTCTCGGCGAGAATTTAAACTTGAACGTGAATCAGGTTCATCGAATGGGATCGAGAGTTTTCGATGAGAGGCCGAACGCGGACTTGCAACGCACTGTCGAGCTTCCGTCGCGGAATCGTGTATCTCGTTGCTCCTCTGAGAACGGAAGCAGGAACGTGGGGGAGGCAGGGGCGAGGTTGAAGACCTTTATTGCTCTCCCGGCTTCTAGCTGGAATATGTATCGCGGATAGAGGGCGAGGGATATACGTATGTACCCTAGATATATCTATCAGTGAGTCCGCGAGGACTGGATGCGACTCCGTCGTCGTAATAACGTTACGCGACGCGAACAAGAAAGGCGTGATAAGAAAAGAATTTTAATGCCTCTCGAGTGATGTAGCGACTTTTGTACCTCGAGCTTCGAATCGTTTCGTTTCCGTGGTGCGAACTTGAATGAAACGTCAATGAATTTTTTAGAATTATCGCGACAACAACTTTAATTTTCGGATTGCAGTTAAGTTTCAGAATACCAGAAGAGATTTACGTTGTTTGTTTGTTTCTTTCCCAATATGTACTTTTCGACGGACGACCGAGGTCCGTGAAATTACAAAATTTCAATCTCTCCGTTCTTTCAGTCGGTAGACTTTTCATTAACGAAACTAGATTGATGGAAGTTTCCAAATTCCAGCGACGCGACGTCGCACTTGGGAAAAATGGACATGTTTCGATAATCTCGTAATGGTTTCCGATAAACGTTCTACTTCGTTATATTCGCATCGAAACCACACGTATATCTTGAACGCGGACGCTCTCCTTTCGTTACTTCCGGGTTTTTAAAAAAACAAAACAAGCTGTTACGAAAGTTGGTCCATCCAGGTTGCTGGCAACCAAACAAGACCAAGCGAAGCGAGTCGAAAGTTGAAATTTCTTTTCACGGAATCAGCATTTTCCAAGTATGTAAACAGGCGAGGAGAGTTTGAATCGTTGAATGAACAAGTACGGCTTTCAAAGACGTCGCGAAGTAAGACGAAAATATAAATTTGTCGAAAGTTACGGAAGCCGATTGGGTAGTTGTCGGTTCGGTTCGTTCGTCGTCTCCTAGTTGGGTCGGGCTTTCGTTTCGAAAGTTAGGAGCAGCAACAGCGACAGTTACGTTATAGCCTATCGCGTATAGCTGCGATGCTTCTCAGATAGGTACGAAGACGAACGGTCGTTCAGAGAGCATCAAATTTATCGTGTAAATCGCGCGAAAATGGAAATGAAGAAGGAAAAACTGCTCGCCGACTAAAACATAATTATAGCTCGACCAAGGAAGTGCTTCCTTTGTTAATTGCCGAGATTCCATTATTCGATATAACATTTCGAAAGTTTGGCGGTCTACAATCGTTCGAGTTTCGTCGAATATTTTCTGGCTGCCTCGTGTCGAGAAACCGTAGAAGAACGATAACGGAGGTGATTAAATTACGTAGAAAAATGCGTTGCCCAAGATAAAACACCGAGTTGAACTTCCACCGGTGTGGTAAGAAAATAGGGACCACGCGACACGGATGGACTGCCCAAGCCGCCGCACGCCTTTTCCACTCGGTAGGCAATTTTCGGAAGAGAATCGTTTTTTCTAAAGTCGTGACTCGCGTGCGGGGAGGAAAACTCGCAACTCCAGACCCCAGGGAGGTTCTCGGAGATTAAAATTGGCGTTGATCCAGGGAATTCGTTGCGCGACGCGACACCTAAGGCAGCCTTTCTTTTTCTTACGCTTCTTCCCGTTCTTCGTTCTCGTTCGACGGTGAGGCGCGGTTCGGGTTCTCGGTTTCTAAGAGGAGAGGAGGAAAGGTAAGCGAACGCCGGCTGTAAATGGAATTGGCCTCGCGCCAGCGAATGCTCGCGGTTCGAGGAAATGGGATTTTCCGTTCGATACGCAGGATTCGAGAGGCGTTCGCGCCTCAGCCGCGATTTACGCGCGCGATTGCTTATGCGTTCCCGGTTCGATGCGGTGGGTAGACGATCGTTCTTAGTCTAGGTTAGAAGGACCGCCACCGACGCGTTCCAAACCATCTAAACCGCTTAAACGCGACCTGTCTATTCCGTTCGACGTAGTCTAGTTTCTCGAATCGAATCGAAAGAACCGTTCGCCTTCTTTTCGATTCGAGCGTCGATGCCGTCGGACGCTCCATTTTTCCAACAAATTCCTGTCGGGAATTTTTCCGAAGACGAAACACAGTTTCGCGCTCGCGATCACGCTTACGTAACTTGATTGAGTATGACGGATGTTCGAACGCTTCTCCCCGATAGCGTCTGTAAACGACGAACATCGGCCACTTAGAATAATTCGTTCGCTTAATCGCGCGAGAGCAATTTCTAGCGGCGATCCATTATTCTCTGTAGCTACATATTAGAAAATAGGCGGGGAGCGATTCCGACTAATTAATCCACGCGCGCGGAACACGGAGACGTACATATTTCCTCCCGAAACAGATGGCGGCGAACGAGTCTACGCGACAGCTTTCGCTGGCGGTAAAGCGTGGGAAGCGAGTTATCATTTTAATAATAAGATACGCGTGCGAGAAAGCAACGGTCATCGATCGTTACTTGCCTCCGTGAACTTCGCAGACAAGGAAGAGGTCGGCTCCTTCGGGATAGGCTTCGAGAAGTTTGCTCATGTCTCTCCTTTTGGTGTCGTAGATTATCGGCTTGGCTGGTGGTACTGCGAACAGAAAAAGGTACATATACCTGCGTCAGCGTTTCTGTCGGTGTCGAAACCAACGGACTCGCGGCCGAGGTTGTCCGTGGTTCGTAGATCGTTCGAGCGGGTAAACGAGGAGTCGAAGGAAAACTGTGAGAAAACGAAACGCGCGATCGCGTAGGACAATGTGTTCCGGGGAAATAGCTTTTATTCGACTCGACGTTCCCTCTTTTCCTTCTCGTTCTCCTCCGTCCTCCGTATTCTACACGTATACTAAATCTACGTATATTTCGTGTTTCTACTTTCATCAGTCGGCTCGGTTCTTGGGCCGCGCATACCTATGCAAACTCGTATATACGATAATATGTACACCCGGATGTACGTGAGTGGAACTAAATGCTCCTGTGGAAAGAACGACCGCGCTAAATGGAAATTGCCTCCGGCTATTGTCACGAGAATGTCGACACGGGCCGTGCATCTGTGTACGATTTCCTTCGTCGCGAGCACTTATCTCTCTCCGTTTGCGCGTTCCGACGATACGGACAGAATGCGTTTCCGCATCGGTGTGTACGGATGAACAAAGATCGGTGAATGTGCCGGGCAACGTTCGTCGTTGTTAAAAACACTAGGAAATCGTTCGACGGAATGACGGACCGGGAAACTTCCGAGTCACGAGTTAAAGCGAGGATGTGCACGTATATAAATAAGTACTTAAACGTTGACGGAATAGACAGCTACAAAGCTGTGCATTTACCAACGTAGCTGGGATTTTATTGGACCTGTCTCAAGAGCTAAGACTGGCCACGGTACATCGAGCAAGTATACTGCTGTGGCCCTATCGCTGTCGTTGACGAACAACTGTAGAGCCATGCTTGTCCACGTAATCAGGTTCGATCATGCTCGGAAAATCGTAAAAAGCAAGAATCGATTCACGAGGCGATTTCGCAGCAGTTTTCCGATTCGCTCTTCTTTGGAAACGATTAACGATCGTTTCTTTCTCCGGATGGTGGAGGGCGAAGACAGTGGTGCAACGAATGACGGGATGGACCTTGCGGGTCGTACATAATCTCGGCTGAGATTACATCTGGACGATTGGGTGAAACGACGCGATGAAAGGTTCTCCATCCCTCTAATACCGGCCATTCGTGACGTTTTACGGCGCATTCGTTCTCTTCGCAATTCTTGAAACGCGCGGAACATCGTTCCTATCGTTTCGATCGAGACTGCTTCGCGTGTCTCCTCTTTTATTTCTAGTAACTCGTGTTCACGTCGAACTCACGAGTTATTCGTAACGAATCTGTCTTCAGGATTTGTACGTATTTCATCGAACGCTTGTTCGTCGATGCGTGTCAATGTTTAATGTGACTCGTTTTTAGCTAGCAGTATCCAACATTTCCTCGTTGCGTAAGAATCTTTCGAATCGAAGGAAATTCAATCGCAAACGCGAATTTCCGTAATACGTATCGCGACACGGCTGATCCGGTCTTTGCGCGAGGAGCGATTTTCCAGCGAATGCGAGCAAAGCTGCGAGTAAAGGGAGCCGAAGGAGATCCCTGGCGAGGTTACGATTTACGCGCGGTGTACGGTTTCGCTTGGTGGTTCCCGATTTTCCAAGACGGAAACGCGCGAGCTGGTTGCGCAATGTAAGACGTCCGCGGTGAATCGTTCCCTCGTGGATAACCTACGTTGCTCGAGGTAAAAAGGGATAGACACTGTAAAGGTGAGGAGCGGATAGGTAACGGCACGCGAAGCCGGGTCGTAGCTTCCGTTCGCGCAACTAACCCGGAAAACTTGTACGGAAATTCTACTCGATTCGCGCGCCGGAAGACGCGGAGGAACGTCTCGCTCGAATTTCCCCCGTCTTCTTCGAGTCGTAAAACGGAGCTCTTCGCCGCCGCGTTGGCTTATCCTCGTCTCTTTCGTCGCTCGTACCGTCGTCGTACGCGCAGCGTCGTCGCCTACGTTTGCACAAACGCCTCGACGAATTTCGATCGTATACTTTTATTATCCCGGTGCTGCGTTTAAAACGTATCATGGCCTCGAGAGATAAGAAAAACGCCGTATTACGTTGCTAATCCGACGATTAAATTCGACTTAAACCACGGCCCTTGTGAATCAGCGCCGAGACGGGCGGCGGCCCGGCGCCGATTTCAAGTTTTTTAAACTGGCGTTTCGTCGAGCAAGCGACACTTTACGGCCGAGCAACGTCGCAAATAGCGATGGAATTTCCTTATGTTTCCCACGTTAGAGATTCCGTGAGAACCTCGAGCGCAAACAATTCGGCAGAGAACGTCGAGAGCAAAGATAGAGCGGCGACGGGAAAATTTTGCGGCGTGGCGAGCCGAGAGAGTTTCAACGACAACCTTTAAAAGCGTAACTAACCATTCGCGTTGGCGGACGCGCGGGGATCCGGTGGCCCGAGAAAATATATTGCTAATAGGGTTTGCAACGCGACTCGTTAGCCGAGAGTAATACCTCAACGCGCCGTTACAGGTTAAGCTCGTTTAACCGACTCCCCCTTTCCCATCCTTCCAGTTTTCCCATCCTTTTTCGCGAAGCATCGGTCTGATTCATCGACTTCTAAACTGCATCGCTACCGACCACACCATAAAATTGAATTTCCTTTCCTACGATCCGCCGTTTCGCTAATTACGACGCGATAATGACGTTGTTCCAATTATCTCTACAAGTTCTAAACTCTATTAAAATAATAAAATATTGAACTGTTAACAACTTCGCGATAAATAACGATAACCGATGCCGAACATCGTTTCGAACATAATAACTTTACGTCTAAAATCCCGTTTCGTTCATTCCGATCCGACTTTTGGTTCCGGAGATATCGTCGCGTGAAAACGAAAAGAATTTTTCTGATATTGTTATCAGTATCCTTCTAGCACGCCTCGTTTTCGCACCTGAACTCGGTTATTTACTTACCCACTCGGATTATACGGTCAACCGAATTTTTATTTGGTCATTAAATAACCATTTTTTGTATTCTAGGAACAGAAGTGATGCGGATATGGCTCCGCGGGGCGCCGAAGCTTCACCAACGGCTCGTATTTTGGGACTGGATCCAGAAACGCTATTCTTCTCATCTCGGCTTCGTTTGGCGATAGGGTGAGTCCAAAATCAGAATATCAACCTCGTATTTTGTCTATTTATTTATTTCATATAAACTGCTATTGCTTTGTTCTTGCACTAATGATAAGTATAATAAAATACATACAGTGACTCATATTAACATTCGGACACACTTCAAAATAGAATAGAATCTCACCAAAAATTAAGTTCTATGAAGAAAGTTATTCTATTTTGAAGTATGTCCGAATGTTAATATGAGTCATAGTACGTGTCTATTACAAAATGTATTAAAACGAGCATCGTTCGAGCACGCGTTTACGACTCTGTGCTATTGTATGGGAAATGGCTATGAGAAATGCATGCGGCATGTTTTGCGGCATTTCTACGATTAGTTGCTCGTCGGCTGTGGCCTGATGATAAAAGTAAAAATAGCATCGGGACGATACACATCAATTTTCTAACGTTATTTTACGTTCGCGATATTTCATTGTATCTCATATCGCTGCTGTATTTCCAAAGCAATATTTTTATTGTTCGCGTTAGGATCGCTGTTCGACCGTCGTCTCCTTTTTTTTCACGTGTGTGGGTCAACGGAATATCGCGGTAGTTCGCGATGCGTCGAGGCAGCGATAGCACGATCGTGATATACACGTGCAAATAGGTATAGGTACATACGCGTGCATACGTTCATATGCATTTCGCGCGCTGTTGCCATCGATTCGGTAGCAGCGTTCGCGTATTTGTAACCGTAATCGAGACAAATTTCGTTATCCTTAACGCAAACATTTCCACGGTGCTTCGAATCGAACGGTTCAAAAAATTTTTATTCAATTTCCAATGGAGCGCGGCCCACGCGACGCGATTCCCTCTTCAGAGTTTCGATCGTTTCGAATAAATCTGATTACGAAACAAGCGTTCCGCACCGCCGAACGAAACGGGAAATCGCGTAGGAAATTCGATGCGTCCGTTCGCTAACGATCAAAATCATTCGATCGACGAACTTCGCCCTCCTTCGAACGAATCGCGTGAAAACGTGGGTAGTTCGTTGGACGAGACGAGAAAATATTCAAGCGTCTATAGGAAGGCGCGAGAAGCATGCGAGCGTATAGAAAATATGTAGGTATTCGGACCATTCGAATCGATTGAATTCTCCTTCGCGAGGGAGAATCGCACGCTGGGGCAAGCGGTACATGTGAGCGAGGTGGAGGAGAACGGAGAAGCGAGAGGGTGCACGCGCGTGGGTGACTGGCTGCGTGACTTGGGTATCGGCCCGTGGCCACGTAACGATTACCGTTAAAAATTTAGGAAAATTCCTGCACCGCGTTCGAGGGTTGGAGGCGATGTTATTTTCATGCCGGTACGCTGCATTTGTACGACGTACGATGCCCGTTATTTACCGCGTGTTACATGCGCCCCACGTATTTCTTTGTGTATTCTACGTCCAGAAACGGTGGAAACGTCCCACGACCCGAACTTTACTTTTCGCTAGATTTTCGGTGATAACGCGCGCGACGAGTTTACTCTCGCGTAGTCGCGTCCCGAACGAAATTGAATTTTAATTTCGCGTTTTCCGAGACCAGATTCCGTGGGAAAGAGAACGCCGGCCGGTCTGTTAAGTATATTTGTTAGGCGATTCTTTAATTCTTTTCATCGTGTAGGATTTGTGACACTCGCGTCGATCCTGGAGGAGCTAGACACCTATTGTTGTGTAATACATAGTTATTTCGGAAATTATTCCTCCGTGGCTCTCTCAGACGTTTAGGTACGGAAACGCTGGAGGTAGGTAGGTCCTATCACGTAAATTCTTGGCAATCTACGCGTTCACTGGCTCGTAAATATTCCGTTTTTATTCGTCGCCAGCAGTCCGGTAGACGCGAGGCGACGATTAAAGACTATGCTTTAATTAAAGAAGTCCGTCGAGCTTATTTACAAGCGCG